AATAAGAAAAGCGTCTAAAATTTTGCCAAGGGAAGACCCAAACTGCAGCCTACTGCTTGTTACTGCGCTGCGGTCTCTGTTCCCGCGCTCCAGGGATCACTTCGAGGGCGAGGCAAAGACACCGAACAGCTGCGAACGCACACTCCAAACATGTCCAAAACACCCGGTTCTTTGAGCAAATCGAAAACGAAATCCCGTGACCAAGAAGACGCCGAAGTGATGGATTCAGATCCGTCTCCCTATAACTACCCCTTCGGTGACTGAAGCATTGAGACGATTCTTCTGACTTCGAGAAACTGCAGCTTCTCGGACCTCCAGCTGCTTGCCGGCGAAGATCAGGCGCTGCTGATCTGGAGGAATGCCTGGCAGGAAGTTTCCGCAGGTATTCGGAAGCAAGGTGTGAGTTTTGTTTGCTTTGACCGGTCAGGACTTCTATGTCATGCTCGTTGGTTTGGCCCGGAGCCTGCGACCTGGAGTTGCCGGAGCTGAGCTGTTTCAGATGGAACGGGTGACGGTGGCCAAGTCGGACCGCCGGGAATCATGAACGCTTTGCATCTTGCTTTGTCTTGCTCATGCTGCCGGCTTTTTGCAGCGTCTGGGCTTACCAATGCTGCCAAAACCACTTCAACATATCCGTGCTGATGCAGCAGCTGAGGACCCGAAAATCTGGCACCCGAGACTGCAGCAGCGCGCCTTCCTTGTCCTGAATCTTGGCCTTCAAGAATTTGTTGCTGGTGTTTTGCCGCTCGGCCGACAGTGAACTGCTGGGTACCTGGCCTTCACGTTGTCAATGGTGTCCGAGGCCTGCCCAGACATCGAGTGTGACTGGATCTAGCTTTCATCTCGGGCATGCGGAAGACCTCGACATCCAGGGTGATGGTCTTGCCAGTCCTGAGTGTGGGAGCAGTCCTTCTGCAGACTTCTCGGGTCTGGATCTTGGATTCGAGCCGCTACAATCCTGGAGCGGGCTTGTGGGACAAACCCTGTCGTTCGGCAACAATCTAGGTGTGTACTGGGGCGCTCAGCTCTCAAAGCACCCCCGCAATTGGCTTCGTAGCGGCAGCTATAGCAGCTGAGCATCAGGGTCTTCACGAAGATCTGCATGGCGGAGGGTTGGCGTAAGAAAGCCGGAGATGTGAGCGACGAGGCTTTGAGCTCTGAATTGCTGCAGGTGACCCACTGACACATAGCTCAGAGTTCGACAGAAAGTGCCAGTCGGATGCAACTGCAAGCGCTGGTGTCAGCTTTACTAGCTCAGCACATGGCGCGCAGGCATCGTCCTTCAGACTTTTGATGCTGGTGTCCCTGGCCTTGGGCCGTCAAGAGTAGGCTCGGTGTCAACGTCAGAGTCTGAGGTGTGGGGGAATTGTGGGGACTACGCCCGGACGAGCTCCCATCCTTTCTTGACTCTTTGAATTTGTCTTTGAATGCCTGGCCCGAGGCCTGGCAGGGCTGGAAGATCCTGAAAGGATGCGGCACTTGGGGCCCCACAATGCGGTAGGTCAGGTTCTTCCGCGTCTCGGCATGGGGGACGGCATAGGTGACCAGCACTGTGTCCCGAAGGCTCCCTTGGAGGTCAGCGTCCGCACACAAGGTATTGCAAACTCACACATGTAGGGGATGGCTGAGGGTGGCACGTTCCTCTTCCATGTCTTCTTCTGGCCTACAGCTTGTGGTGATGGTGGCGGTGGTCTGACAGTCTGACCAGACTATCTGGTAGCAGTCAGAGCCCGGCTTGAAGACCATGAGGCGTGCCCCCTCGTATTCCTTGAAGCCAAACCTTGACCAAAGATAGCAGCCAGTCTTCAGTGCAATGCTGCTCAACTAAGCAGCTTTGTTTTGGATACCCTTGGCCCACTGGTCGTACGGATTTGGCTTCCTAAGTCTTAACTGCCCGCGCCCGAATGCATCCCGGCAAGCCGAGCCCTTCAGCGCTCGGCTTGGTGCGCTCGACGCGCTGCTGCTTGGACATCTGGAGAGGGTGCATGGGTGTGCGTGTGCAGGAACATGCAACAAAGAAGGGGCTGCCGGAAACATCTGGATCCCACGCTTACGAGGTTGGCCATTCACGAAAACTTGCATGCCTCTGTCTGCAGCTCTCTTTCCATGAAGTTCCGTGCGCTGGCTCGCCGTTGCTCGTGCACCTGCTGCTGAACGAGACGTTGCGGACGTCTCTCTGGACGAGTTCAACATCGCCATCTTGGCATTTGACGGTCTCCCTGGTGGTCGGGTTCTTGCTCTTGATTGTTTGAATGGCAGTGCACTATCATAACCATTATAAGGCCAGCTACAGTACTCAGTGCTCTCGGGAATTGGACTGCCTCACCGCTCTCGTACCCTCACTATATACAAGAAGTGCTATGTGCATTTTAGTTGGGATATCTTGGGTTGGTGTTTATGACCAGCGTCATCATGATGAACTTCTGGTTGCCAGGCTAGGGGGGCCTTGCAAGTTGTGATTCTTTGCAGCTTCATGCATTGACTTCGATGGCTTGCTTAGTCACTACCAATTCCTGGCATCTGCAATGTTTACAATTCCGCCGTGACCAAGTTGAATGTTCAAAATTTGTCAAAAGAGGCTCCATTATGGGACACTTGCTGTCGAGCTTCCTCGGATTCTTGCTTTAGCTGGATGTGACTGTGGTCGACTGCTGCTGCTCTGGCCAATGTTGCCACTACTTCGAAGACACTAGTCGCACTGCGAAAAAGAATCGAATGACCGCCCTTGGCACGGGTATGATCTACACTCTTGACCTATTTTGTATTCTGAGTTCTGCAGCCTGTCTGCTGGAAGGAGGACTGCCTGCGCCATTTCGTCATGCGGATCGCCATGGAGGCTCAGGACCTTCTTGCTTGGAGCTTCGGGAAAGAAGGCGCTGAGTTTGGGGGGGCATCGTCAACACCGTACCACGCTGCGTCTGGTTGGCACTGCCATGCTTCCCCTTCTGAGATGCCTGCATCCGGCTTCAACCGCCTGCCACTGGGCAATGTTAGGGACACGTTGGGACTTGAGGCCTTCGGAAGTCGAAACCCCACCTGGGACCTTCCGAGCTTACGCTCTCGCAACTCTCTGGGTCGGATCGGCACTACAGGAAGGATGTTACAGGTGTGTCCTCACGTGTTAGAAAGCTGCGATTCCCCGGCAGGACCTGTCGGATCGGCGCCGATTGATCTCCTGCTCTGCGAAGAATTCGAGTTTGCCTGGGCCAAGTGGGCGAAGGTTCGGAGAGAGCATGGATATGCATGGACCCCGTCTGGGAGCCCTCCAAGCTGCCGGCGCTTCTCAGCTTCGACTTGGCGGCTGGAGAGCTCTTGGTTCGTGGTCTGACAGCCACCGGCTTTGAGCCGGCTCGGGTCTACTTCCGATGCTGACGTGTTTCTGGTCGCCGTGATGCTGTGTCGAACATGATTCGGGAACGGCACATCTCCGCCTGCCTTGAGCCTCTCCTCCAGGCGCTCCAGCTTCTCCCGACCTAAAGCCGCAAAGTCACGGTCTGTCTCAGTGACAGAGCGGCCTATAGCTGGGCTAAGGGCGAAGGGACTTCTCCACCTGAAGCTGCTTGAGGTACTGCCGACAGGCATAAAGATCCAAGCCTCAAGAACCGCATCGGGGGCATCGCAGACAGGCACATGCCTAAGGTCCGCTTGCTGCTTTCTCTGCAAGGTCGCTGCCATGGATGGCATCCTCCAGCTCGGAGTCCTCTTCCGACCCGAGAGGGCGCTTTCAGCACTTGGAGTAGCTGGGACCAGGAGGTGCAAAACCGCCGCCTCTCATAAGCCTACCGGCTCTGGCCCCTTTAACCGAAAAGCCTTGCAAGGGCCCACGTTCAAAGAGGCAACGACTCCTGCAGAGGCATCGAAGCGGCGCGTCCGTCGACTGCGTCCTCCGGCGCCTCCAACTCCTTGCCTCTGCAGGGGTCCAGAAGCATCTACATCTGCACCCACCTTGTCGATTGGAGAAGTCACCATCTGTTCGGGCAGCACATCAAGCCCAGGCAAAGAGTAAGTGAACCGAAGACACAAGTCACCGACGGCCTGCTACCTAGGCACCCGAACACCAAAAGATCAAAGTGCTTGTAGAAACCCACACACACACAACACCAGGCCTCCTCCTTTCTTGAGAACTTGTGCTCACATGGAGGAACTAAGCCTCTAAACTGCTGTCTATGGCGGCGCCGGCTGTCCTAGGGAAAAAATGGAATCACACGGTGGGCTCCTTGGCTCCTTCGAGCTTTGGCTTGCCAGGGCAGACCTCTCCAGAGCCACACGGCTTCAAGCCCTCGAGTCTGCCTCCTGTACTCTGGCGGTACGTCAGAAAGCTCCCGTGCAAGAAATCGTCAAAGCAGGCCGGATCCGTGTTCCTTCCGCCGCGGCCACTGTACGCAGGTGTTCTGAGCTGCTCCGGCACACTTAGAGACCAAGGAGGTTCTTTCAGGTGGATCTCTCTCTCTCTCTCTCTGAAGAGTTCCGAGGCTTCTCTCGTTGACTGCGGACATGGATACCAGGAAGCGTCGGGATATCTGCTTGTCACCTCACACTAGGACAAGTCTGTAGCAAGGACCTCCTCGAGCAGGAGCTGCGAAAATCCAGCACAGGGAAGCACTACCCGCCACCCTTCCTAGCTACGAGCACTGTAGGCCCGGGAAGCCTCGAAAATTACGTCGACGGACTCCTTCTCGTCTCTCGACATACCGACAAACCCCGATCCTTTGCAAGTTACTGTGGCAGTCTAGGTGGGATACCGGAGTGCGTACAGTAGTCGAAGGAGAGGGCAATTTACCCTTAGTCTTCCTTGTCATGCACAAGACATTGAAACCTGGCGGTCGAAGCATGGACATCCGGACGGCAGCGCAGGCGCGGGTTGGAGGAGAGGCTCAGGGCTTCAAGAGGGCTTCAAGCTCTTGACTGACGAGCTCGCAAGGCTTCGAAAGTGGCAAAGCCTCGCATCCACCCCAGGGCGGAAAAGGAAAACAAACGGAGGCACTGCGATGGAGTTTCCCTCAATCGAAGGGATGCTCCCTCAGCCTGACGAGGTGCTTCAGGCGCCACCAACTGCAACCGGAGCAAGAAAGCTTTGTCCACTGTCTTGTCACCAGTGTTTGTGCTCCGTTTCGGGAAAGTGCGCCTTTCGCGTGAGACGAGGTTCGTGAATGCGCCCTCATGCAGACTCTGCAGGCGACGGCGCGGGCTTCTTGACACGCACCTCGTTCCCAAATGATTTCCTTGAGGCCCTCCGCATTGCCCCAACCCTTTGAGGCAAAGGCCATGATGAAGGCTGGATCCTTGATAATCGCCTTGAAGTCTGAAAGGCCACAGCGGCTAGTGAGCCTCAGGTGCAGAGCAGGAGCACGGAGTCCACACATTCTCAAGCACAAAACCTCAATGTCAGGCCCTAAGCTCCATGCGAACGCAACTCCTCCTCTGTCCAGAACTTATAGGGGTTTCGATTGGTACCCATCCTCGGTCAATCCAAGTACCGCAATGTACTTCCCGAACTCACTTGGTGTAAAGCGCGTGATATCTGGAGTTTCTCAGCGCTTGGAGCAGAGCAAATTGGCTCGAGGCCGTGTTTTAACAAGTGGAACGCACCCTCACACCGACGAAGTCCCAGGATCCTACAACTCCATCCCGGGAATCCGTGATCTCCGCAAAACGACCCGACACTGGAGAAACGAAACACACGTAATTAAACAGCTGGAAAAGATTCCCTCTCATTCCCTCTCCCTTCTCACCTCCGGGCTTCCCAGCGAGCGCAGCGGGCCTCGGGGCATGAAGGTCGTCAGCACGAAGACGCCACCAGGCCTGCGCGGGTGCCACCAGGGCCCGGGGGCGGCACAAGCCCCGGTTTGCGGTTTGGCTCGTTTCGTTGGGATCGGGAGAGTCGGGAACTCGATGCGATCTGCAACCAAGCCTTAAGACTCGGGAGACTTCGGCGACGGCAAGCTCCGGGTTTGGCCTCAGTGGAGGACGCGCACCCGCAGCTCTCTTCACGAATGACGACCAGGGGTGGCACCAGCAGTGAATGGCAGCACCTTCCACTCGACGGGACGTGCAGGTCAAGAAATGCTTGGCCGCTTAGCTTCCTGTAATTATGGCTCGATGGCTCTGCTGCTCCGCACTTCACGAGGTCTACATGTGGCTACCATTTGAAGATTTCGAGGGCGCCACCTGCGTGAACCCCTCCAAGAGAGCCGGACTCGAAGGGCAGGCGAGCCTTAGCCGGTGCTCTTCGTAGGGGTGAGAAAAGCCATCTCCGTGCAATTTCATCAGCCAGACAGTCATTCATCAGTGTGTGAGGGCGAAGTTGGACCTGATGGCTCTGGACTCCCAGTGCACTTCAGTCTCTCAGGTTGTGTGACTAGCAAAAGCAGCTCAATGCCATGGAAGGCTGGACATCTGAGGAGTATCACTGCAGATGGTTCAGAGTGCCCGGCGATGTCCGCCCGGACCAGCTGGAGAGCAGTCTTGCCCTCGCCACCCTGTGCCTGGGTCGAGCTTCACATGCCCCGATCGGTTTAGCGAGAGCCCATCCTGCCACGGTCCGATAGCTTAGGCAATGGACATAGTCGGGTCCGATCTCCTTCCTGGCGAAATCATCCACCTGCCAGCAAAGGCGTCGCCCAGCAGGATGAAAGAGCTCTCAGACACGAGATCCACTCAAAACAGTTCCGCGATATGGACTCGTAGCAGTAGCAGCCACCACGCCTGTCGAAGCATCGACTCGCTGAAATCCAGGGCAATGACCTTCACAGGGAGAGCGACCGAGGGATGAAGCCTGCTCTCGCGACTGGCACTGCACGGTGCGAGCAACGTCTGCAGGATTGCTAGCCGGCGACTCAGCTTCAAGATACAAAAAACTGTGTAAGAGGCCCTCGACCGTAGGAGTGCATCCGAGTCGCAGTGGAATAGTCCCCGGACGCAGCAAACCGCCTGGCAAACGCAGTCTGAGATACGCTCCTGTACATCGGTCGCATGCGACGTTGATACCTCCCCTGACTCAAACATGGCATCCTGACATGTCATATGTTTCATGGGTCTGCTGCAAGGCATGGGCTGGCAGCCCAAATCTTCCTTCTGCCTAGCCTTGATATTGACAACCGCCTGCCGGTCAGCTTACACCGGCTGCACGGTCTCGGGTGCAGCCTGTAGTTTCCTGCAGCGGTCAAAGTCAATTTGGCTACATCAGGCCGGTGTTGCCTCCGGGTGCTGATGCAGCCAAACCGGCCTCTGACCGCTGCGGGCCTGCAGCCGGTGCAGGCTTCTAGCCGGCAACGGTCGTGCCACCTTGGCTACATTAAGTCGGAGCTGCCAGCCCACGGTCAGCTGCCACCCAATGCATTCAGGCGGTTGGCAGCCTCATGCACTGAAGTCAACTCCAGCCCCGCCCTGGCCCGCCCTACTGCAAGCGCATCTGAAAATTTTGCCGCTCCTGCTGAAGAGGCCCGACCCGCAGGATGCATCTAGCAGCGTGTCCTGCGCTCAGGCTCAGGCTGTCTCCCAGTGCCCCAAAGACCCATGTGAAGGCCCTGAAACGTAAGTGCCCATCCTCTGTAAATGCAGCAGGGCTCTCTACGAGTAAGTGTGAGTCGACTGCCATTTTTTGGGGGGTCTTTTTTGTCTTTTATAGCCAAAGCCATTCTTGAGCGAAGGCGGAGCTTTGGAGCAAAAAGGTCCCCGAGCAGGCCGGTGCCCTCGCGCAGGAAGTCTTGGGCCTCAGTTATGCGGGGACCGGGCTCGGACTTTTGCTTTGGAGCCCTCCTCTCACGACTCCGTGGCTTCTTGAAATGCTAGAATACAACCCTGTGGGTCGTGCTAAGGTGACCTGAGACAAGGTGTGCAAAGTAAATGGCCCTTAACTCTTAACCAGCAGCTCCACGCATCGCTGTATCGAAGAACTCCCCAACTCAGAATGTCTCGCTCCGAGCTTTTGCCCTCGCCATGCTGCGAGGCGAAACTCCTCGTCTGGCCCGGGGAAGCCTGAACCTGGGACTGTTGACAGTTGGGGATTCTGTGGCTTCAACCGCAAACTCGAGCTTCTGTAGCTCTTCGTGTGTTACGGCACCGAAGCCACAAACCCGAGAGCCCCGGCTAGCAAAGCTCCTGCGCCAGCCACGCTCGTAGGCAAAGGATACCAGCCTGGGGTCCCCGGGCACTGGAGCTTTCAAGGCAGGGGCCATGTCCGTGGCTTCCATGAATTTCAAACAGGAAACCAGGAAACCTGACCATGAAGACCTGGAGATCCCCCAAAAAAGAAGCTTGGAGTTCTTGGGGCCTGGTTGGGGCCTGGCTGGGGCTCTGGCGGGCTCTGGAAGGTCGAGGTGCCAACGGGCTGCAGAGGGCCTCCCAGCCTCGGCTCTCGGCTGCCGCCTTTTTCTACAAGATTGTATACACGCCCCTCCTCTCCTCCTCCTCTTTTTTCGAGTTTTGCCCCCTTCAGCTTCACTTAGATGTGAAAGCTCTGGGCTCCTGGCAAGCGCTGGGGCTCCTTCAGGAGCTCTCTTCCTGGGCCGGGCTGGGATGCGGCGCAGCTTTCCGCAGTGCATGAGACCGGGGCAGCGAACTCGGTTTTTCAGGGTGTTCCATGACTGGGCACGAGTCTAACGACGAGACAAGGCGCCCAGTTTCTCGACCTCCTCGCTCTGCGGAAGGCCCAACCTCAGCAGGTTGAAGGTCTCCACGCTTCGAAGTCCCAGCTTTTCGGTGCAACGTGCTTCCTCCACAGCAGCAAGCTTTCCTGATCAAGAGGTTCTACTCCCAAAGAGGTTCTACTCCCAGTGCGACTATCGGCAGACGGTCGATCCTCGACAAGAAGTCCCGACCTGCGTCGGTTTCTCACCCTTACACCGTAGATGTAGCCGTAGCCCTGCAACTCCTCCGAGGAAGTGGCGCGCCGGCGATGGCATCCGTCTGCTCTACGAAGGGGAGGCGCCTCGAGTGGCGGCGGAAACATGTTGCAGAGACTCTCTGACCGGGCCATCCGGCAGTGCATGGATTGACTAACGCAGCCAGCCAGATTCACCAAGACCACAGCGGCCGGCTGCGATTCCCCAACTATGGTATGGGCCATCTTGCACGGTGCTATCACTCCCTTTTGCACGGGAGCACTCCAAATCCAAACTCCAAACACCTCTGCTGTCGCATGCCCTTCACGGAGGACCATAGAGCCCTGATGCCAAGCATGGCAAACCACCTCAACACTCTCAGCAACACGCTTAAGCAACGACGGTTCCTCCTCCTTCTCCACGGCCTGCGGTGGCGCCTGCACAGTGGCAGCCGAGACAGATTCTGTCACCTTCACCCACCTCATGCATCTCAGGGATAAGGGGAAAGCCTGGAGACGAGACTTAAGACACCTCGAAAACTACTTGGGATTTCCAAGATTCGCTGGCAATGCAAGCAATGCCATGTGTGCACAAACAGGGGCATGGGAGGATTGAGCACAGCAGCCTCAAGACTGGCCGGCATGACAATGCGCACGAGACCAACAACAAGTACCACTAAAACTGCCGCTACTGCGGCTACTGCTGTCGCAGCTTCCAGTTGATAGTCTCGCCACCATGCGATGATCGCTACTGGCCCTCCTGCTTCTTCGAAAGATGAACTATTGACACCAAGCAGCTGTTCAGGAGAAGGTCAAACGAGTCAAACTGAAATATACTGAATTGCCCTCGGCTCGGTCACAGACTCAAATTTTCTCAAAGACCCCACCAGCACCACAATCAAAGCCCGTGCTCTCCCTGACATCGACATCACCTCTTCAATTTCGGTTTTCCAGAAACACGCTGTACTGTACTGTGAACCTGTCTCTACGTCTTTGAGGAGTGTAAGGCTTCTGCTTCGCAGGTGCCCCAAAAAGTGAGTGTGCGTCTCCTACTGGAGACCATGTCTGCGCTAGCTGCAGAGAGCATGGCTTGCCTTTCAGCGGCATGGGGAGCTGTGCTAGGGACCGGGATGATGTCTGCCGTGGTTGGGGTTCGAGTAAATTGAACCCTGGCTCTTGACAATGCAAGGAAGCAAGCCGGATGCTACGAGTAAACAAATCTTGGGATCCAGGAAGCTTCAAATCAAGCTCTAGAAGCTCGCCACTTACTTCTACACTTCTACACTACACTGGAACACGCATTCACCGGAAGCGCTTGCTCTTGCGCTCACTGTTCCGGGGCAGCTTCCCGCCCGGCGAGCTGGGAACCTTGCCGGTGCCAATGCCGTGAGGCTCGTCGAGCAAGTAACTCTGCATGGTTCGTTTCGTTCCGGAGCAAGCGATGACTTTGTGCTCCGTGAAGTGGAACTGCTGAAAATTATTACGGATCACCTCCACAAAAGTCGCGCTGCAACAAATGCGCCCAGGCTCACCCTCTGATTCCATTTGGTTGCCAATGAGGCAATCCTCACCCCAGATGTCGAAGCGAAGCTGGTTGCTGCCGATTACGCCAGCCACAAACTGACCATGGTGCAAGCCGATTCGCATGTCAAGGCCTTCGTGCTGAACCTCGTTTCGAACGGACACGATGACCCGGAGCATGGACATGGCCAAATGGAGGAGCTGGTTGGCCCCGAGGACCTTGTCCTCATGAACCGTCTTCGGCTCATTCACGGCCAGGTATGCATCACCGATAGTGCACACTTTGTATGCTCCGAGGAGTTTACAGCAGTTATCGAATCTTGCAAAGAGGTGTGTGACGAGTCTAACGGCTTCATTTGCCTGATGCGTGGCGCAATACTTCGTGAAGCCCACAATGTCGGCAAAGAGAAGCGTCATGTCGTTGTAGGTGTATGCCAGCTGCAAGTTGTCCGACTGCATTGACTCCAGCACCTCCTGAGGCAGGAGGGAATTTAGCAGTGAGTAGCATTCTTTGTGCTCCTTCTCAACCATCTTCAATCCTTCCAGGCTCTTCAGCTGGTACCACTTCAAACTCGCGATAACGCGCACCTGCAGGATAAATGCAGAAAAAGGGTAGATGAGCCCGGAAGGGAAGTCAGCCATTGCACCAAGCACCGTGGCCGGCAGGACAACCGCCAATCCACAAGCAAAAGCAGCAGTGGTCGCACGCAAAACATTCAAGTGCATCATGGCTGAGAGGTAGAACATCGACTCAAAGTAGATCCAGTAGCTGACTTCCTCCAATCGCCCGTCGGCAAGACCGTAGAGAGACGACGTGACGGCACAAATATATCCAGCACCGATAAGCACTACTGCAATACCAAAGTAGTAGACTTCGCTCGGCCATCTCAGTCTTTGTGCTTCTGGGTTCATGCGTTCCTCCTCCTCATCATCCCGATCCGACACAGCTTCCACGCCGGTACCGCCGGTGCCATCTGCCTCACTCACGTCTGCCCTGTTTTCAGAATCATCACGCTCCTTCTTCTCTTTTGCAGCTACGCTCTGTGGCGTGCGCCCACAACCTTGCCCCAAGGTCACGAAAGATGCGACCACGATGATCACAAACAACAGCGCCGCAAAGGGGACACGGATGTTGAAGAAGAGCTGGAGATTTGCAGCACGATCGCCTGTGTCACCAATCCAGATGTACAAGGATTCCAAGCAGAAGATGCACCAAAAGAGCATCAGAGATGCCAGCAGCGAGCTCTCTTGATTCGTCTTTAGACAGTCAAGATCATATGCACGCACGCAAAAGGAGACGAAGTTATGGATGGCCTCTATGAGCCTCGCCCGAGAAAACATCGAGCAGAAAGTTCTCGTGTCTTCCGTGGTCAGCAAGACCTCCGGACCCACGTTCACCATGCTGCCCTCTCGGACTGCAGACTTGGCCCGATTGAGATGAGAGGTGGCACCGGCAGAGACTTGCCTCCTTCGAGCCCCTTCATGCTGCAAGAGGTAGGTGTCCATCTCACCTTTCCCTTTCCTTGGACACTCGCAACATGACACGCTCACTTCTTGCTTGGGCATGTCTTATTTCACCCTGTAAGTCTCAAGCTCTACTTTTCACCCAAGTATTTGACGATTTGACGCTCACACTCGAACAAAGATTTAGATGAACCAAGTTTCACTGTGGTCTTCCTCGCCAACCAAGAGTATTGCTGCTCGTCCTTAACATGCTCGTATGTGCTTGCAGACACATGGATGTGATCCACCATCCCTGTACTCATCATCCGCGATGCGGTGTTCACGGTGTCACCGAACAGGGCAAATTGTGGCTTCTGCGAGCCGACCACGCCTGAGATCACCTGGCCCGTGTTGATGCCAATCTTTAGGGATAGCTTCTCCATCTGCTCCATTCCAGTCGTGCACCTAGTGAAGAGCCTCAGAACTGCACTTGCAGCCTCGACACACAAGAAAGCTTTCATCTGGACAGTGTTTCGAGCAGACTTCTTCTTCAAGTCTAGCATGCCCGCTGCCACAAAAGTTTTCCCGACCGTCTCGATTTTGTGAATTGAATGTTCCTCGCAGATGTTGTTCATCTGCGTGAAAACGCGATCAAGCAGCTCCACTAATTCATTGGGCGCCAGCTGTGCTACGATCTTTTCGAAAGCGTATATGTCGATGAAGACTACGGTCACTATGCCGCGTTCTTGGAAGATGGTCTTGGTGCTGGAGACTTTCTGCTCTGCTACATTGATCTGCTGCTGGTTGCTGAGAAAGCTCTCCCGAACCGCTTCCACCACATCTTCGGGATACATTCCTTTGAGAAGATCGCGGTCGGAGTTTCTTGCCCTGCCAATACGATCGTCCCATGCGAAGCTGTGCCGAGCAAACCGCTCCGACAGATACATGTAGGCACTGACCAATGCAACCAAACCAAACTGGATGGTCGAATACTCGACCAGGAGGCGTCCTTCATCGTTGCACACGTTGACTTGGGTCATGCCATCTCCCACTGTGCACGTTCGGTCGTTTAGGAATAAGTTGGCCCAAATGATCAAGAGCAGCATGTGGAGAAATAGTACCCCGATGGCTTGCGGGAAGCGCATTCGTGCACCGGCACAAAAGAGCAAAGGCATAATCGCATCCGACACGTAGCTGGGAATGCCGTACAAGAATTCGATGACATGCTTCAGCACGATCAGCAGACAGCAGCAAACGGTCAGGTAACTCGCATGGAAAGCACTGATTCTTTCAAAGCGCAGCGGAAGCAGCAACGCCTCGCATCCGACCACGAAACCGGCAATGCTCCCGAGACCCAGGACCACTTCTGAGAAGTCTGTCGGTGCAAGCACAAAAGCCAACAGCTTGACAACTTGAAAGCCAACCAAGAGACCGGTGAGGACACGAGCAGACACGAAGAATTGATTGCGGCTGGCTTCGTCAAACATCTGACAGAAGGCCTGTTCGTGCAAGCTGGATCTGAACTTCAATGTGAAAATGTTGTACACAAACTCGGTTGTGTACTTCACATTGAACCGGGACTGCGCCTTGTGTTCCATTGGGTGGCCAGTTGTGGTGGCGCTTGCACTGTGCTTGCGCTCATCAATTTGATCCAAATCTAACAGTTCGGGCTGCATGCCTGTGACCTTCGAGAGACGCTCAGCGAGTGTTCCATTACTGGCCGGATCTCGATCCTCCTGGGATGCCTTGTTGCCCAGCACGTCGGACATCAAACTTATCTGACACCACTGCATCTGACTGATGATCCTCTGCCATTCCTTCGCTCGCTTACCACAGCAGGCGGTGGGGTCTGGAGCAAGTTCGTCCTCTCGGCGATGACGCTCCATGATCAACTGTAGACCAGGCTTCTTGGTAGGCGGATGCCTTGCATGCTTTGTGAACTCCTTCAGCTCCACAGCCTCAGCTTTGAAGTCACCTTGATTGTAGTTGTTTCGCTTGTAACTCCATGGAATCGAGTTCACCAGGGCAGCTGGAAACATTCTCTCCATCTTCAGGTTCGCTGCAAAAAGAAGCTCATCCCGGGTCGTATGTGTCGCACCTGTTGGCGACGACGGCGAGACTGGGGAGGCAGGAGACTGGCGGTGACCTGGAACGACAGGGGACAGGCTCATGTCGGTCACCACTTGCGTGCCTCGGAATGTCGATTGTAGCAAAGACTCCTGCCCCTCACCTGCATATGTCTTCGTGCGCTGGAATTCCTGCGTTCGTTTCAAGAGGTCTGGCTTGTTGATCCGCTGCCACGCATCCAGGGCCAATTCTACCAGCACGGACAAAGCTAAGACGAGCAGAAGGCTTAGCCATCCAGGCAATGAATAGAAAAGCTGCCCCCCTACCTCGACGAAAGTTGGGTTGACGATGTTAGCCATGATGGGCCAGGAATAAATCAACAAGATCGGAGGGAAGAATATCACGGAGGCCAGAGAGATGAGCAGTTGCCAGTCCATCCAGACTTGCGTGTGCAGCAGGAGTGTGGCATTGGCGACCACCACGCAACTCCAATACGACCATGCTCCGAGGGACAAGTAGTCGGATAAAGGCCCAGCGGCCCCAGAACCACCTCCCAAGAAAACGCAAGCCACGAAGAAGTTCACCAAGGCATGGATGGTTCCTCGCAGCAGCCAGGCAACCAGCATCCGGTAGTTGAAGTAGACCTTGTTCACACCGTACAGGTATAGCTTCGGAAGTGTTAGGGCTGCAGGCGCATAGACATCCACGTCCAACGCACCCACGATGAAGATGGGGAGGTTCGTGAAGACCACATTGTACATCATGATCAGGTATGGATCATAGAATGTGGTCCCACTAAAGCCTGTGAAGGGAGCGTAGCAAGCCATGGTGATAACAAGGAGGAAGTTTTTGTAGAACGAATAGCCGATTACCATGCCAATCCGTCGGATGTTGCTCCGCCCATGCACGAAGAGGAGTGACCTCAAGAAACGGAATTGTCCGATGGCGAAATCCGCGGCATTCACGGCTTCACGTCCCTCGGCCCCAGCGATTCCAACTCCAACATGCGCCTTCTGAATCATGCTCACGTCGTTGCCGCCATCGCCCACGGCCAAGGTCAAGGGATTTCCAGGCACATCTTTCTTGATAAGCTCTACAAGAGCAGCTTTCTGCGCTGGAGATAAGCGACAGGCAATCACAGAGCAGGAGTTGCAAGCCACTGTGACGAAGAGCTTGTGAAGGAGTGTGTCTGGTGCTTGCAGGATGGCATAGAGCGCTGGGCCGTTCAGGACAAGGCTGTAGTGAAAACCTCCACCGTGGGCGTGCCTCAATTCATTCAAGATCTCCTCCTGGATGTACCTTAGCCTTTCTTCTAGCTCTAAGGCACTCGAGGAGTCATGCTCGCGGGCAGAGCCCTCCTCACAGGTCAAGTAATAGAGTTGCGAATGCTGCTCGATGAGGCGACAGATGCTAGCAATGTTTACGGCTGTCTCTACGCAGTCGCCCGTCAACATCCAAACGCGGATACCACCGTCCAGCAACATCTGAACCGTCTCTGGCACCCCGAACTGAATCTTGTCTTCCACGGCCGTGACGCCTAGCATGTCGAAGTCACGCTCCATGTCGTCCATGACTCGATTCATCAGCTCATCCCTATTGAAGAAGGAGGTCCGTGCACCCTGCCAACGCTTGATGTAAGCCTCAGCTTCTGCATCGGGCAGCACCCTTTGTCCGCAAACCAGTGTCCGCAATCCATGCATGGAGAAGTGTCGAACTTGCTCCCTTGCAACACGGAGCTTCTTCTTGCGCTGGCTCTCGTCCATTTCGCCGGAATCATATGTGTTTCCAGGACCGTTTCGCGAAGCCCAACTCATGAGCCCAGCACTTCGTGTTGGCTCCAATTTGGATAGCTTCGAATGATCCTCTGTCTCCAGCATCGCCGGCGCACCGCTGGGCACCGGCGGTTCTGCCACCACAGATCGCGCGGAGAGGCCAGCCGAGGAGCATGGAGACGGCAATTTGGGACCTCGAAGCTTTCCTTCGGAGCCGTGGGAGCCAACCGCCAGAGCCATGGCCATGCGAGCATTCCGAGTTTTGCCTCTGTCGCTCTTGGGGCTGCTAGGGCCGCTAGGGCCCCCGCTTGGGCTAGGGCCCTCTCTGTCTCTCTTGTACTCTTCATTGGACTTATCTGGATCCAAGGAGAGCGCATGCGTCATGTCGTCCAACCCCTCGAAGTCAGCCATAACCGCCGGTGTCGCTCGCTTTGGGTCTTGCTGGCGCATCCGGTCCAGCATCACAGAGTCTGCGCCCTTGGCAAAAAGGATGTAATTTCCCTCGGACACCGGTGGCAGGTTGTCCATGGACATGACACCAGCATTGCCAAGCAAAATGCTACTGGCCATTGCCTGCGACGTCTGAGGCATAACACCGTCCTCTGTGCACTGACGCACGAGAACAGACATCCGCTTCCGCTCGGACGAGAACTCATTGCACATGATCACAGTGTAGTGCACATCCTGCCCGCGGATGTTGACTGTGACCTTGTTGCCCTGCCGCTTCTTGAAGTAGAAGCCGAAGTCGCGTGCCATTGCCAGTAACGCTTCTTCGTCCGGGGATTGGCTGCGAAATTGAGTCTGGTTGGCCTCAAGAAGTAGCTCCATACGTGCTCGAACCTCCTGCTGGCTGAGTCCCCTCATGCCTGGGTCGTTCTGCATCACATACTCGATGTCGGTCAAGGTCTCCAAATTTGAATTGCGCTTGCTACTCGGGGAGAAGGTGATATGGTTCGTCTTCTCCGGCATCGCGGTGTGGCAGGTGGCGAGGCACAAGAAGAAGTTGTGAACAGAAGATTCCAGACTGTAACTCCAATGAGGATCCTCATCACTAGGAATTCCCCACAATGAAGGGTTCAGGGGCCGGCATATGCTGCATGTTGGGATCTTCTCGATCTGGTCACTCGGGTATCCATAGCTCTCCTGCATTGTAACGCTCCCTCCTCCATCACTGGTGTCATCTAGCCCATTTGTCCAGTAGCCATATGTCTGGCCATCTACATAGCATGCTTTGAAGCACATCTTGTTCTGTGTCAAAGTCCCGGTCTTGTCAGTCAGAACGAAATCTACTGTTCCAAGATCTTCGCATAAAGCAGAGGTCCGAACTGTGCAGTAAGAGCCGCCCTGGGCATAGTGCATGCTTTCGTCCCTCTCCATAAGGAAGGCTTGAATCGCGCGGACCACGTCTGTTGTCATGTACAAGCTGATGGGGATCAGGTTGTTGTAGCCGATGAGAAAGGTCAGAATGGCGAGGTAGGGGCTATCTTGTGCAGTATCCCCATTCTCTGCCGATCCATCCCACACCCAGCGCAAATTCTGAAACCCAGCAGCGTCCCCGAGCAAATTCTCTCTTGCAACTGCACAGCCGATAGATATCAGGAAAAGCAGCAAGAAGACAATAAACAGCAGCTTGTTGGACATAATCTCCACCTGCGAACGCTTCGTCGATATCGACCGGCTGGAATTCCTCACCACTTTTGTGTCGTTGCCTGTGTACACCACGAGACCAATGACATAGTTGGTGTTCCTGATGGTCGACCCTCGCAGTAGTAGGTTCTTCAAGCCCACTGGCACTCCTCGGGGAAAGCCTTTTAGGTAGAGACAGCCATCGAAGCGCCCAACAAGCTCATTGGGCAGGTCGGCTTCCATGTGCCCCTCCACGCTTCGAAGCAAAGTGTTTTTCACCATGTGATGTGTTTCGTCTACGCACTGCTTCAACTTTAAGGAAGACTCCCCATCCAGTTGCGCTGTGTCAACGCATGCGACGAGGCCTGGATAGGAGTAGACGAGAAGCATGTCTGCCGGGACCGGTTGATCTCGATAAAGTTTGACAAAGGATCCAACCTGTCCACAACTGCGCGGCGAAACAGGACTATGTTTAATCCGGCTTCCTTAGTTATGGATTCTACAAAGAGTTGGCGCCAGTGGCCATACACGAAAGTGTTGGCTGGATTGTTGTTGTTGTTGCACTTGTGGTGAGAGATAGCTCTTGTGCTGTACTGCATGATCTGGTTCGGCAAAGTAGCGCCGAGTTGGGTATGCTTGCTCTTTGTCGTTCTTTCGGCTACGTGCTCTTCGAGTCTGTCAGGGACTCGCTCTGGATCGTGATGTCCCTTGTTTCGTCCATGCCCACCTGCACCTGAGACCACTCGATCTCTTTGAAGTTGTCTCGGGAGTCTCGTGTCTGGTTGTTCACATGGGGAGTGAACACGGAACACAGCTGCTGGTTGACTCTGCGGTCATCCCTCCATCTCTTGAAGTCCTCGTAAGCATCCTTGCAGAAAGTTGCGATGAGCACGATACACAAAGGCACCAAAGTTGCCCAAGAAGTCGTCGGCGAGATCTTGTAAGGCAACATTTGCAAGATGGACACGATGAGGAACCAAACGTTAGCTATACGGTGAAACTGTTCGAACAAGTTCAGCGGAATGATTGTCCAAAGCTTGTACCTGGTTGTTGACACATGGTTGCTTGGAAAAACGGAGAGCTTGTTCAAGTTCGGGCCGAAGGCTATTCGTCTCCGTCCCATGTGCGAACGGTTCTGAGCTGGGACCCCGCCGACTGCGGGCGGTGCCTCCTCCGGCGCCTCGGCCGCCATCTCTATCACGACGGATCCCAGTGCCCCATTGCGTTTTGTTCTTCTGCTACTTCGTTGCTGTGATTCTTGACGCTTTTGGTGCTCTTCTTGTCGCTGGGTTTACTTGCACTGACCAAGACGTTCATGCTCATGTATTGCAGCATCTACTACTGATACCACTGTCACTGCCCCAGACTTTGGGGCTTGAGCCAACAGTGCGTCCATGCCCCTTCCAACTTGAAAGTTGTCTTGCTCCGAGATGAAGGATAATCCGTGTGAGCACACCCAACAACTCCAGACTTCTGCAGAACTGCAGGCACTACTGCTGGAATCTGCAAACAGGCTGTCAAGCACAGCTGGGAGCGCCTTGGCGTTGAGCACCTCCTGCAGCTGATCATGGCGTCTGACGTCCGAGATCAAAACCCCAAGGCATACAGCCCAGTCCTCAGCCGTCTTCGCCGAGGCGATGGTGAGATCCTCGAGGCAGCTGCTGGACCCTTCGGAAACCCAGAGGAGCCCAGACCGATTTGCTGACCCTGCCGCCAGTGGTCCCAATCTACTCGCATGCTCGTACAGAACTGCGCTACGTTTTCGCAGAGAGGTTGCCCCTGACAGACCTCTGAGGAGCATCTCCCAGCGCTCGATTTGCCGAGGCGCCAGGAAGCCGCCAGAAGCACGGGGGAAACCCAGCTCGCCACATGGACACCTGGGAGAAAAGCCCGCACCCAAAAGTGATCAGCTCAAGTGAACTGGTGCCACCGAGCCCACCGAGGCCACCGCACCGCTCCACCGGCCACACTCTTGTCCATGGGACGCTGGCACACGGGGCATGCCTGGCATTGTGGAAGCTCGGCTCTTCTGCGCAAGGTCGAGATTCTCGACAACCACAATGAGGGAGGGAGATGACTCAAACGTGTGCCACCGTTGGAGGCTCTCCGGACAAGCAACTGACGTCTCCAGACAGTGCCGAGTTGCAAAGGGCAGCTTTGTCTCAACCTTGGCCTCATCATGGCTCGCTGGTGCTGGATTGCTAAACTACCGAAGCCTAAGCACTCCAAGTCTCGCTGCCCGGTGGCCTCCTCTTTCGACAAGTCCTCCACGTCGATAGCCTCGAGGTGGAATGGTGGAGCAACCACGCAGAAGCCAGGGCTTCCTCAGTCTCGGGTCCCAGCCTGAACTGTGGGTGCAGCCGTCGCAGCCCGAGTGGAGCCTCCGCGCCCTGAGCGGCAGTAGCGGTTTTAAAGGACGCTTTAAAAGGTAAACAGCTCCCGAGGTTCTCTCGCCGAGCTCCTCGCTACGTGTCGACACGGCCTGGGCTTCGGAGCTCAACGGCCGAGCCCAAACTGCCCCCTTCTGGGGCCCCCAAGTCCAAGGCCAGCATGCCGACAAGACCGCCAGCAACCAGCCTCAGAGCAAGTCGGGTTGATCCCAGAGGCGCTGTGCCACGTGAAGCGCATGAGTTGGAGCATAAGTTTGGAACCGCGAGTCTGCCGACAAAGCTCAAGCTCAGCGTGGGGCCAGCCAGAATCCCTCCGTCGCTCAGGACCTGCCCACAAAGGAAACTGTTGCTTTCTGTTTCTGAGCCAGATGTGTGTAGCATCCTGTTTCTCTGTCGCCCCGCCTGCTGCCGCTGCCCCGGTCACATGTCCACGTAAAGCAGGAGCCCCAACCTCTGTCTCTTGAGAGAGCTACCATTCCTACAAGAGGGAAAGATTCCATAATGGTGATGCTTCGGTCACGGTTCATAAACATGAAACCGAACGCGTGGGCTCGGGCCAGCAGGGATGCACAGCCAAAACAACACTTCCGCATAGCCTCTTGAGACCGAGCTGAACCCGGGAGGGAGCCCCAAGGAGAATCCCGGCTTTTTGTATGCGCTTTTCGTCTGCAGGCGGAGCATACCAAGAGCACCAGAGATATGAGGAAGCTTCCCGCTATACTGCTACAGTTCGTGGCCCACAGCTACACTTCCTCTGGTGCATTCTTCGGTTGCAGCAGGGAGGCTCGGATCAACATCTCTCGCTTACTTCATATGGTTGCTGCAGAAACTGGGTGTGCGAAGTGCGCGGGGGTCGAGACTGGATTTCACGGGATATGTCTAAGTCAGGTCGGCAACGCAACATCTTGGAAATCTGTCATCTCTTGGTGCTCCGGGCTCCCAACTTGTCTTTATACACACAAAACTGGTCGGGGACAGGCCAAGATGGCGTTCAAAGGTGCCGGGCACGTGCGAAAGACGTTGCAAAGTGCATCAAGAACATGATTTCAAGCCCTAGTCAAGCCGGGTTCTCCGAGATCTTCTCAAGCCTGCTGCACAGCCACGGCCTCTTTCCAAGTCACTGACGTCAGTTAAGCAGGCTTCGCACAAGCCTTTCTCAAAGGCCTGTCCCACCTGCGCTGCAGGGCCCAGGGCCCCAGAAGGGGCCCTGGGCTTGGCGGTTTAAAGCGCCCAGCCCCAGATCCCAAACATCCGCCCGGACTGCCAAGGAGGGAAGACACTCAATGCCTCCACGCAGACCCGAGCGGGATCCCGGGGTCATCGGCTTTGTAAAATGCCTGGGAGCGGCTCGGCTGGACATCGTAATTAAAACCGTCCCAGTCCTGCAATCCGAGTGTGTAAGGGCATGCTGTGCTGCATTGCCTTTTATCCTTGCTCCGAGCCGTCCCCGACAGTCACCTCAGACCTTTAGGACGCTTTTTTCTGTAGATCCTGGGTGATGCGACGCCCTCTCAGAGGACCTCCGAGCATGGTGGGAACTCTCACCGTCACAGGAGTCCGGGTAGCACCGGGGTCTGTTGTACGCCCCTTCTCGTCGGAGGTGCAGTCCCCATGTAGAGCAGCAGGAACAGTTCCACAACATTCCACAACCCAACAACTCCAAACCAAAGCGGTTCTGGCTTAGTTCTCTCTACGACTCTACGACGGGGCATGCACACATTTAGCTTCTACGTCAGGGCGAAAATGCGAGCATCATGCCACCGGGGAACGGAATGAAGGAAGGTCCAGACACACTTAGTGCAACACTCCCACTGGATATGGTTGGGGCAACAGAATGCAGAGCTTACTTCCTTCACTCCCTCAATGCTGGGTTCGCCGTCTTGGCGCAAGTGCCCCGACTGGCACGAATGACACCTTCTTGGCCACAGCACATAGCATACAAACGAGTTGTGATCGAAACCGCGTGTGCGGTCATTACAACTTCTCGTTTACGCTGCTTCTCTTCTGATCTGCTGCATTCAATGATGACTAGCACTTGAGCTCCAGACCTGTGCTTTTTTCAGCCCTACAAGCCTTCAAGTACCAGGAAACGATGAACCAGCGCCGTGCTTGCCAATGTCTCCTCAGGCAACGCTTCTGCTACGAAGGAGATGGAATTTTGGGTAGAATTCAGTCAGACAGAAACATGGGGCGGGACCATACAAGCCGGATATATGGTCCTTCCTTCACCATGTCTCACAGTGCCGTCGTGAATGTCGGAACCGAAGGGCAGTGCTTGAAAAGATGATGCTGGTTCAGGTTTTGTTGCTTGAGGTCTCCCTAGTCACTAGCACCTACAACATCCGATTCCACCTTTCGCCAACACTGACGCCTCCTCTCAAGCGCTGACATCCTCGAGGCCACGGGGCCTCAAAAGAACCCCTGACTGGGGCCATCCAGTGTCCAATTACGGAATTTTCCCGCCTTCCCTCAGTTTATGTTCTGGCACACCAGTCTCGGAGCAAACCAACGGAGGCTGTGCTTGTTTGGTCGACCACGCGAGGTAGGTACCATAGCGCGCGGCACTACCCGGCCGAAAGATCTCATGCGATGTAGATTAGTCTTCACTATACAACCACAGCAAGAAAGCCTGAAGGCTTTTAGCGCCAGGCGCTTTCCACAAAGCTTCAATAACTCCGGGCCATAAGCCTTCGTCGGAAAGGGGCAGATGCAGCGTGAACATCGGAAGTCTTTGAGGATGCGTGAAGCTTCAATCCAGGCGTTGTTCACCACAGACTCCCCCATTCCGCTTCCCCATAAAAAGGCGAACACCGGATCCAGGAGCTGATGCTCTGACGATATGCAGCTAAGTTCGGCCTCTCAGCAACGGAAATGCCGCTGCAGTTTCCTTGGCTTGATCTCAGAAGTCTCGGCGCTACAGCTGGTCGAACTGAGCAGCGGCCATCAAAGCAAAAATGAAAGGACTGCTATCTTGATCTCCGGAGCAACAGGAGTCTGTTTTCAGCGCTACAACTCCTGTGCTCCCCTGCATTAAGTTGTTTTTGCCGTGCAGATGTGTGTGCCGTGGGCGCCATCCTCCTTCCGTATCAGACGAAGTCCAAAAACGACTCTCGCCACTTCTGGGGTGGCCGTTGTGGCCTGACCCAGGATACCCACGGGACCGGGTGTCCCGATGCGGGGGAGGATTCTCAAAGCGGCCACCAGACAGCTCGTACACTGATCGCGGCTGTAAGGGATTTCAGCCCACATGAGATCCATTCAAAGGGTGCTGCCGTCACACCTACCGGGCTGGTGCTATAGAACTCACTACAGCATCCGGTGAGGTCTGTTTACATCAAAGCTCAATGCTTCAGCACGTAGCTCAAAGCGTTTCAAAACTTTTCCGGACTCCATGGGATTGTTTGATGACATGCGACATGCGAGCGCTTCAGCAGCCGAATGCAATCACGTGCTACAGTCTCAACTTGTGCTCTAATGATGTTCGGCCACCAAATGCTGCCACAAGTCCATCTCTCTGTTTCCCTAATCAAGCGCTGACAGTGCTGAGTTGAAGCCAGAGAGTGCAACAAGGAGTCGAACACTGCCAACAAGAGCTTCTAATGACCGTGAACAAACTTGCCGAATGGAGATGGTGGCGTCTTGTTGCATCGGCCACTGAACAAGGCCTGCCGACGATGCCGTCCCTCTAAAACTATTTTAAGGCCGTTCAAAGATTAAGCTTAACTACGGACCCCTGAAATGCATGTGCCCTGGTGGGAAACTTTGCAAGTCCCACGCAGGGGAAGCGAACCCAGCACCAACACATGCTCAAGATTACATGCTACTGGCGCCCTGCAGCCAGAAAGACATTCCACTGAATGGCGACAATGCGCAGTCTATCGCACAGCCCTCTCTGGCATACTGGGAGGTCTCTCAGGTCAACGAAGTCGACCAATATAAACATTCGAGGCTGCCACAGGATCAAGGGCTTAAATTGTAGCTGCAGCCATGGGAAGTCCTCTGTATGGAAACGAGAAGAACCAAAGCCAGGGCACACTGACCCACAAGGGGCCACACCTACCCTACACTCTGCATCTCACTGCTCTTCTTTGTATTTAAGCTCTGCTTCTGGTGCCCTGCAAATGCTCCACTGCCATCTGCGAAAGCAGAGCATGCGTCCGGGAAAACATGCTGACGCCTCATCCGCTGGCACTGCTATCTGGCTGAGGCTCAAGCTCAGACTCAAGCTCCAAATCCTCCAAACCTGGCTTCGACTGGGCCCTCTTATGCTCAGAATCAAACGGAAAAGAAACGGATTTCCGAGCTCCATCAGCAGCAGCCTCAGAGGAAGGTGCTCCGGGCGACTTGAACAGCTGTCCGGGCTTGAGATGCTTCTAGGACGATTCGGGGCCCGATGATCCACACAGCAAGGAGCTGAAAAGCTGATAAGCGGTATGGGGCGGTGATACTTTCAAACCCCTTTTGGCTGCCCTTTCGCTACCAAGTCTTGCAGAGGCGGCTTCAGGCTTCGGCATCATTTCCAATGCCAAGAGCGCCTGGTGGAAATGGCTGTTGCGTCTTGCAGCGTCCTATATCAAACCGGTCCAGGGTGTTTCGGGCCACTCGCCCCATCTCTGAGCTGCTGTCCAAAGACTTGAACTGATTTAAGCTACCACCCTGTGAGTGATCGGAAGCGAATCAACTCTGCGGCCACAGCCCTTCATAATTGAAACCTTCAGCATGCAGCTTGGAAAGCAGCTCCCTAGACGAAATGGGCCTGAGGCTTAATTAGACTGCGCGTCGCAAGTCTGCACGAACGATGTCCTTAGGGCACGGGCCACCAAGGGTAACCAAAATCTTGAACTGTAACATGGCGCCATGAACAGAGTGCCTGAATTATCAGGAACCTTAGTGACTGGGCAACAGAAATCAAGCGGGCTGCAGCCGAGAAGCCCCGTCGGAGATGAGGACGTCGTAGACTCGCACCTCACAGTTACCTTGGTTCAGCGTTTGCGAAGGTGGAATTGACAGAGGATGGACTTGCAGGTATCTTCGAGGTCCAGGGCTGGCATGGGCTGGCGGCTGGCATGCATGGCCCCATCCTGATGACCAACTCCATCAGCCGAAGTTGGGCGCGGCTCGTCTAGCATCTGTCGGTTCATCCACGGTTTCAATGCCCCGCCCCCCCGGGCCAGTGATATCGGATGTATACCTCACCAAGACACTGCTTTCAATCTAATGCAGTGTGAAGGTCCACAGTTGTGTCTTTGGAAGTGGAAATGTCTGTTAACTTATCTGACATCTGCTTGTCCATCACATGTGTACTGAACATGTTGTCTCTTTTGCTGCATATGATAAGCATCATACATGCTACATATAACTACATTAACTACATGTGTGTATATATATATATATATATGTGTGTGTGTGTGTGTCTGTATATCGACATGCGATATACATGCGCATATTGTGACGGTCTCACAACTCGGACTGGGCCAGATACGCTTCCTTTACCACATGTCTGTGTAATGATGTGTGGCTCAGGCACAAGACCGCAGGCAGACAAATACGGTTTATGTATGCACGACATCAACTTCTCCAGAAAAGCGGTCGGTCGTGCATGCGGCACCGACTTCAGTACGCTTAGCAGCAACGGTTTCGCATGATCTTGACTGCCGTTCTTTTGAAACTGCTCTCCTCCAACGTCCGAGTGCTGGTGTGTTTATTCAGCCCCTACTGTCCTACACTGCCGCACTGTCACGGCACAAGCTCTGGCGGCCTTAGCTGCAACGCCCAAGCGACTGAACTCCGAGGCTGTCGGTCGGTTGAAGGGCCCGCGCTCCAACTCACGCAGGAAAGCCTGGTCGCCAGCATACCCGCAACGATCAAAACCCATCAAAAGATAGATGGATGTTTCGTGGATGAATGCCTCGATGTAAAAGATACACAAACACAAACAGACGCATGGACACACAAACATGCGGTGATGCAAGTGGGTAAACAAATACACCGCATAGAGAAGTATGCATGCCTGCGTCCGCAAAGGGCATGTACCACTTCAGCATCCTACTTGGGCAAGCCAGACAGAACTCTGCAATGCCTGCATAAAAGATGGGACGACATTTGCGGTTTAGCATTCCAGGTCATTGCTGTAATATCTTCTTCCCCGGATTGTTTCGATGCTGGCACGACCGCATTGTTCCGCAACTCCGGACAAAAATGAAACGAAGAAGTGCAACAGCCTTTGTCCACACAAACACAACCACGCACATCTACTGGGGCCTTGTGAGTGACCAAGCACACGCTCTCCGCACTCGCGTCCTGCAGCAACTTCCTTTGCTGCGAGGCAGGATGAGGCGTTGGCTTTCGGCAGCATTCAAACCTAGTTCATCGTGCCAGAGGCGTCTCAATTCACAGCTCCCCAATTCGTACAACAATCAGCGGACGAACCCGAGATTTGTGTGAAATCGGCCAGAATGCACGTATGTGACTGTGCACACTCGCAAAGACTTTTAGGCTGTCCGGAAGCACTAGTCGTCTGACCTCTCCTGCGCATTCTCCTTCCTCCAAGCGCAGCCACTACTACGATGGCCGGCATGCATGCGGCCGAATCTGCGATCTGCGCCTTTGCACATGTACAGAATCTATAGCCTGGTCACCCGAGTCCGGCAGTGCGCTTTCGCAGCATGGGCCTCGGTGTCGCATCGCTTACAAGTTGATACCGCCGACTGCGTGGTACAGTGCTGCCCTTAGGGGAAACATGGCTGGCTTCTGCACGACATATGCAACTTTGCTAAAAGCTCGGACACCCATCGCACAAAGTGCTACTGTACAACAGAGGAACTGGTTACACGAAGGCGTCTAATTCAAAACTGGCGCGGCACTCTGCACAACAGTTGGCCGAGTGGCTTCTCCTCGATCAAGGGCCAGGTCTTGTACCGGCGAAATGGCGCATTGACCTTGGCTTGGTGCCACTCCGAACCCAAAGACGCAAAGGGGCCATTCGTCTCTGCAAGGACGACCTGTTCACTGGAGTTCCGGCAGATCCATCGCGCCTCGGCATCGTCGAGGTCACAGATGATGTCCGTATCTTCCACGTCTTCGTCGAAGCTCCTGGCGACTGAACTTGAACCCGAGTAGGCCCCATCTATGCCATCTATGCACAAGTCGTCTCGCGGGTGCCTTGTCTGTCAGTCTGTCCAATGCTTTCTCGCCGAGCAGCTTGGCTTGTTCTTTGAGAATTGGCCGAGCACATGAGCCCAGAATGCCGCTGAGGTGCATGTAGCTGAAGGTCTTCCGCCCCGCCAAGTCCCAGCCCTCACTCCTGCCAACGGAGACTGACTGAAGAACCATGATGATTTCGTGCTTGTCGCGCAGACCTCACTGTTCCAGCTACTCGTCCTCACGTCTGTGGGTTCAGTTTGGTCCACACTTCAAACCCCGCTTCCTCTCATCGCATGGAAAACCGGTGCATCGCTCGCGAAGGAGGTTGCGGACATGGACGCGGCTGTGGTTGGGGAACCTCCGCCACAAGACTAGCATTGCTTTCCGCAGTCTGTTGTGGCTACCACTACCGAATACCACCGATGTTTTTAGGGCTTCCGGGCCAGTGAAAGAATCCTAAAGCTGTGGCATGCGAGTCCCGAGAGCGAGGCGAAGAGCGTCATCTAGCAGCCGATTGCAAGCCCAGTCGCATGACCGCTGCTGTCTGTAGAGCACGTTGCAGAGGTGACACGAAGATGGCTTCCGGCGGCTTTAAATCGGCATCGTCTAGCAACATCTTCATGATAGTTGCCGCCTTAGATCCCAGCTACACACCGTGAGAACCTTCGTGACAGGCGATCCCCAAGAAATGCAAAGAACTCTATGTTGGATGTCAAGACGGATAGCGAGTCAGATGCAACTGTCGGCTGCGTCGATGATCAACTATGGCTCGACAAAGGGACTGTGGAAACGGCCTGTTCCTTGCCTTTCGCGGACAACCTCGGTTGCAGCGGAACGTTGTGCTTCCCGCCAGCATCACGAGAAATGTCGAGCAGGCGAGCACCAGTCGAGAAGCGAAGAAGAAGAAGAAGGGGAGCCTGCCCTGCGAGAATCGGCCCGTGGGCTGCAGCTGCTTGCAGGAAAGCAACGGGGCATCTTTCAAACCTTCGTCGCTCAATGCGGACTTTCGCGCGATCCTGGGCAGCTTCAAATCACGCCTCATGCCGTCGCCATGAAAAGAAGAAGGTCTAGACTGGAAAACATCTCAACCGGGTTCTAGGCCTGACATGACATTCTGGAGCTTCTCAGCTTCAAGAGTTGGTCAAGAATCCCACGCCCCATGACAGCAGAAACGGCTACGTAGGTTGAATAGGTCAAAAGCTGTCCGCGACCTGAAACACTTGCCTACACTACCTGATGTGCTGGCCGCCCATACCATCACACCCACCCGACGCCGAGACCCGCAGAAATTGCTGGCCGGCTGGCTCCATGGCCTCTCGATGCAAGGCCTCGTCATTGGTCTTGCTGTTGTCGGCGAGTGCCTGTTGCCTCAGCAAAAGCGCGCAAAAGCTGGCGCACGAACCGAAGTTAGAGTGAGCCGTTGCCAGATCGTTTCACAGCTGCCCCTCGGCTCGCAGCTCATACAGTAAGCCGTCTGACGCGGGATCCCGAACACATCGAAGCCTCGCTCTACACGTTGAAAAGGTTGCCTGCACCTGTAGCTCGGTTGAACCCTCCCTTTCTACTCGCACACTCGCTCAGGGCCGGCACAGATGCAGGCGAAGAGGTCCAATTACTGCGAGAGTGCTTGAGCGACATGCAAGAAGAGCAAACGAAAACAAGTCAAGCCATCAACATAACATGTAAAAACCTGAGACCGTAAACCACGGTAGAACATAGAAAGTTCCCATGTAGGAGCCTGCAATGCACCAAACACTCAGAGGCGAAAACAGTTAGCAGAACCCTTGCCCATTTCGTGTAATAATACCACCAGTCAACCCATTAGACGATTATTCCTATACTCCCCCCTACACCTCACCAACTATATCACCACTACTACCCCATTGCCAATAATGCCAATACCAGTATAGGAATAACCGATTACCTCATCCATATAAGAGGAATATTCCTATACTCCCTACTACACCCCACCCCACACGGCAAAAGTTTCTGAACGCAAGATTTCCGTATAAACCAAAAGAACAACGCGTCAAGACACGAAATATTCCCAACATCTCCGAAGACTACCTTAAAACTAATGACTTGGATTGAGTAAGATTTTGGGGCTGTATTGCTGTGTTCTTGCTCTTGTTTGTTTCAATGCTCTACGTGTTTTTATTTATAAAGAAATCTTAGTGGCTTCAAGGGTTTTCGGCTGCAATAAACGAAAACCGAAACCCACAAACCACCCAAATCACTGGAAGTGGTAGGACAGGATCGGCTTGAGGCGCTCAGTGTTGTAGGTCAAGAAGTCGGACTCCTCGCGAGGTGAGTGGCAGGGGAGAGTGTTAGGAGTGAGGTTTGTGGCTTGCTTCCGAAAAACTCGCAGAGCGTTTTTTAACACTTCTCGAATTGTCAAACAACGCGCAGGCCCGTCGCGGAGTCACTTTCACGACTCGAGAAATGTACAAGATCAAGACGGTGCCACGCAATACAGCACTCATAGCCATGGTCCCTCACTTACAAGCCCAGCACGACGGCCAAGCCAGAGGCAGACGACGTGAACTGGTGTGCCGGCATCTCTTTTCAGATCCTGCCCGACGGCAAAGGGGGAAACCATGCTAGCAAGTCCTTGGGTCGCCATTCCATTGTGTGCTTCATGGTTGCATGGCCCCAGTAACCATGATCAAACTGGGTACCTGCATAGTCACCACAGTTCTTGCCAAAGAGGTTGTAGCCCCCCTCATGCGCTTTCCCGTTGTCTTTCAACTGCTTGATAGTGGGGCCCGCCCCTGAGACGAACTCTCGTGTCCTGAAGGTTACCCCAACGTCACGTTGCATGGCCAGCATATCGATGTCGATGTACTTCCAATTGATATCACCTTTACCGGTCTTGTCTGTTCGAAGCACATACCTGCTTCCTTCCAGGTGGTGCTGCACATACCAGTGCAGCCCCCCCCTTCTGACACACAGACTGGACTTAGCTACTCGGTCTTCGTCAAAGATGCCGTTGTCATCTTGGAAGTCCTTGTAAAGGTCCAGAAAGTCCAAGCAAAAGACAAGATCGGCCGGCTTGCTTCTGCGGCTCGAGGGGGCCTCGTTAGATGGCAAGCCGGCCATTGTCGAATTTCGAGTCTGAGGACTGAGGGAACACGAGCACCGATACATGTACATTCAGCTGCGGCACAACAAGCGGTTCGACAGCAGTGCAAATGTACAACACATGGCACCTCATGTCAACTGCAAACATCAGCAAACGAAGCGGTGGCTGGCTCCTCAATAATGGTGATGTCGTTGCTCTCGTGACCACACAACCACTGCGAGAGACTCCCTACTGCGGGCTGTACAGCCGCAGAGCAGGATTTCTCAGAGGCTTTGGATTATATGGTTCTGATTGCGACCATTAGCCCTACGTCTAATGACCATGAATGAGGGAACCTGCGCCCGCTCTGCGTGATAATGCCACCTTTGGGATTATGGATCAAGTAATCGGTTATTCCTATACAGAAGGTGTTCATGGGGAAGCGGTAGTGATGATATAGTTATTGAGATGTAGGGGGGAGCACAGGAATAATCCTCTTATATGGATGAGGTAATCGGTTATTCCTATACTGGTATTGGCATTATTGGCAATGGGGTAGTAGTGGTGATATAGTTGGTGAGGTGTAGGGGGGAGTATAGGAATAATCGTCTAATGGGTTGACTGGTGGTATTATCACCCAAAATGGACAAGGGTTCTGCTAACTAAAACCGCCCAGATTGAGCTGTGTAGACCCCGTATCCCTCAATTTGCACACTGGCATGCACTGGCACCCTTGGCAGGCAAGTCGCAGAGCAGACTTTTCTGCGACATTGTGCAAAGCCTCGTACACATGGGGCAGGGAACGGATGTTTAATATACAGTGATTGGACAGGGCTTCCTTTCGTCTTGCGGGCATGTCTGAACGACGTACGAACAGGTTTTTGAATCGGCAAAGTGATGCTAGTCGCAGAATTATACATTACTAACTACTCGTGCGAAATGACTCCGGCAAGCACAGACCTTCAACTCCTAACACACTCCAGTAGTCCAGCTTACTTCATTTGGCGTCATCCGCGACGAAGGTCGATGATACTTCTTGATCCATCGAACTTCTTGAAGTCTGTGCTCACGGAATCGAGTCGGCCTCACCATGACGGACGAGAAAGACCTTGAAGCAAGCGAGCTTTGTTTGGACCAGTACGATGTGACTACGAAATACAGCACTTATGCATCCACTTGAACACAGGCATGACTATCATCCGGGCCACTGTCTTCGAAAGCGGCTCGTTCGATAAACTGCCTGGAGTAGACGTCCATGGGCTTTCCGGCAGACCGAATGGACTGTCGTCGTATGTCGAGGATATGCCTGGGCTCTTCTGCAGGTGCTTTGAAAAAGAAAGGCGGGGCGTATGCTTCTGAATGCCACCTCGGCTAGCACTGAAAGTAATTTGTTCTTCTTGGCGTTGTCGCCATGATTCACGTCCGCCTCCTCCTCCTCCTCCTCCTCCTCCTTTATCCTCCTCCGTCTCCTCCAAGAAGAGCAAGTATCCTTTTGCCTCCCGCCTGGCAAAGACAAGGCCTGCACTAAACACGCCCGTGATCGAAAACATGCCTCGGCAACAATGGTCGAACAGCTTTGGTCCTACGAGTACCATCACTGCAATCACGACGAAAACGAGGAGAAGCAGGCAGAGGAGGAGGAGGAGGAGGAGGAGGAGGAGGACGCCGAGATGATCACACGACGAGACGATGCCACAACGACTCTGACGAGCAAGGTGTCGACGCTGCAGCTTCAGGCTCGCAGTCTCGGCCGTGTGCAGCAGGCCGGGGGCAGCACATATCTGGCGAGGTGCTGAAGGACAAACGGCTCGGTTTCTCGTCCGGCATCTTCTATTCGCATCTCAAGCGAATCGGCGCTGAGCCCTAAAAAATCACTGCAGACAACAAGCACATGCAGGCCGAAAACCGCCCTGCAGCACACTGACATGCATTGCTCTGAATGAATGTACATGTAACAGGTACGCAGGGCAGCAGAGGTCTAACAGGACTGCTCGGCATCTCTTCCACGGTGGCCCCGTGGCTATGGCCCAATCTGAGCGGGCGGGCGTTTGGCACGGGACCGGTGAAGGCCAGCTGGGTTGCTGCCTGGGCAAGCGATGTCTGGCCGTTCCACGATGGGTTTGTGTTGCGGAATCAAGCCTATCAGCTGCGACAGCCCGAGCACGCCTTTGTGGCATCAACATGTCCACACCTACTAGCGCCTTCCTACCCCACAGCTTTCCTTCCGGCTTTCTTCTGCAAATTGTCGTGTCCTCAACGCTTCCACCATCTGTCTTTTCTCCGCATAGTTTGTGGGCGTAGTGCGCTGGATGTGGCAGTATGCTTGCGAGGCCCCTGCTGCGTCCATGGCTGAGACTTCAATGTCCTTCCCCGTCCACGAAGAACACTGAGAGAAATCTCGAGCCAAAGCCACGACATATAGGGAATGAATGGAATCGGATGGCAGCGACTCCATAACACAGCTAGAATGCGGCCGACCGCTCTGGCCTAGAGCACCACTCCCGCTGCGACCTCTCAATTGCAACGATTCCTGTTCTGGTCCTCGGCGTTAACCCCGGGAAGGATGGGTATGATGAGGAGGAGTCAGCGGCGTTTGTCTCGCACAGGGTTACACTGCAAGTGGTGGCGCACCCTTTTCCAGCTTTCAAGGATGTGAGACCAGTTGCAGTACGTCTGTTCCTCGGTAGGCTAGCCGCTAGCCACGGAAAACTGGCCCCGATCTCGGAGGCTGTCCGGGCTGCTGGGGGTTCGTACCCAGCGGTGGAAAGATTGGGAGGTTCGTCTGGACGCCTGGCCGCACACCGCTTGATGGCAGTTCGCGGGGCTGGGGTGCATGGTCCGACCTTGGTAAGAAGGCCGTGTCTGTAGGCGGCAAGGACGGGGTGGACTTGGGGGTGGCGCCTTGAGCCGATTGCGAAAATCCAGGGCTCGGAAGGCTCTGTGCCGACGCTGGCGCACTGTGGGTAAAGCTCACCCTTGGCCGGCTGGGCACCTGCCGACCTTCCGGCAGAGACGCCCGAGAAGTCGGTTTCGGCTGAGTCACGTCCTCGTAGCCCGGGGGGAGGTTGTAGGCTGGTGCGGCGCTCTCCGTTGTAGCCTCCGAAGGAGGTGGCACCTTCTCCATCATGCTCAAGACCTTGCATCTGCCGCAAATTGCAGAACCATCAAGACAAGATCCAGACAAGGCACCACCGCAAGAATGCACAGCAAGGCCAAGAGGGCCTCAGAGCGACTGGGACGCGTGGATTGTGGATCCGATACAAGCTCGATCTCTGACTCTCGAAACGGCCCCAGGAGCTACCGAATGGTGCTGAGCCCCACGCATCGGTGCCGGGACTTGCGCCTAGAGCGAGCTCCACTAGCAGGAGGGCTCCCACAAAGGAACTCTGCCAATTGACTTTTCACAGGCTGCATGCACTGCACAAGTTCAAGAAGATTCAAGCGGTGGAATGAGAGGCTTTCACGGAAACCAAGCATTCTTTATGCCGTGGTTGCGGTGCTAATTTGGCAACCGTCCGTCGCTTGGCTCCCTGCTGATCGCCAGGGTGTCGGCGTTGGGGCCACCATTCAGGCCTGGATAGACCGGTGTGAGGATCGGGGGTTTTGAGTTTTGACTCTTGCACGTGGATGCTCTGGGAAGCCTCTCCGAGCTCCTGGCTGATGCGCGTGGCACTTGCCAACTGCCGCCCATCTGGGGCATAGGCAGAGAAGCCAAGAAACCTTGAGACTTGAGCCGCATGAATCGATCGGTTCAGGCTTTTTTGGGCTCGGGCTGACTCTCGCGCGTTGCAACAGGTGCTGCTTGAGTTCATGTCGATCCGGCGACGGTCTAACACTTCGTTGGTGCGCAACTCGGGGCTCCCTGCGCGGTGGACGTCCGCATCGTCATCACCAGCTGCTCCGACCTGTTTGAGACTTTGAGGCTTGCAACCATCAGTAGTAACTGTGTGCCTGCAGGTAGCACGCGAGTGCCGCATCTAGCTGCTAGATTCAGCCATCAACAATAAACCTATGGCAGACGCAGACAGATGCCACCACTACTGCCAGGCTGCCAGGCATCTGCTCTTTACGAATGTCGCAAACAGCCACTCCGTGCTCCGTACCCATCACTGTGGTGATGCACTTGCCTCTGGTCAAAGATGGAACAGATTCTCGATTGTATCAAAAAGCAGTAGCTGTGGGTGCAATGTACAACTGGTTCAACGACATCGGATCTCGGCGTTCAGTCTTCCGGACGACGACGACTACGACCACGATCATAACAAGACCAAGACCAGGACCAACCCACGGCAGACCACGACAACCACCACCACCACCACCACAACAACAACAACAGAAGCAGCAGCAATAGCAGCAGCAACCACAACCAACACAAAAACTGAAACTGTCCTAGAGAGATCCGTCAGTGTGGCGATTATTCTCTCGGGGCTGTCCTTTTCAAATCGGATTGCTTTGCAGCTGGGTGTGATATCGAGATGCATGCGTCAACGGGGTTTTGCTGTTCGTCTCGGCAAACCATGCGCACAAGTCTTCGACATCAGAGTTGTTGCCAGCTCCGCAGTTCAATAAGTCTTCGCATGTGGCGAAATCGTCGGGCCGTGAGAAGCCCGCGAACCGGGGCAACGGCCATTTGTCATTGGATCGGGTCATAGAGCCATACCTCGAGAGTTTTCGAAAACCTTCCTGGATACTGCCTTATAGGGGCGAGGCATCAGCTCTTTATGAGCCCATCCAAGCATATGCAAGGAATGGCACATCTGCAACAAGTGGAAATTGCCCTGGCACCCAAAACTAAGGGAGTCCAGGGAGTCTGGGATCGATGACTTCTGGTTTGATGGCCCGAAGATCTCCGTGGGCGCTCGCTGCGCCATGGCCTTAGACTTTAAAAATCTCTGGTCGAAGCCGAAGCATAGAAGCTGTGACCAAACATACGCCCCCCCACCCCTTTCGAGCTCAAGGCCCCGAGGTGCAAGAGCCCAATGCCTCGGAGTCTGCGAGGTCTGCGAGCTCGTGGCCCGGTGGCTAAGAGTTCGCCATGAAAGGAAACTGCCGCAAGCGGCTGAAGCTGTCTTTCGGGTCGGCACTGGCATGTGGGTGCCGCGCTGCCGGAGTTGTTGTGAGCCTGGGAATGCTTTCGGCGCACTCTTCCGGTACTCTAACAGAGGGCCTTGGTTGTGCAGGCAGCAGAAGCCTCAAGGACGATCATGCACTTTGCAGGGTTTTTCGTCACCGAAAACCAAACCCAAGCCGAAGCCACGTAACCTGGGAAACTGAGGCGGGCACTGCAACAGGTGACCAATCTGGCGGCATTGAACAACACGGAGGAACAGAGAGGCACTTGTTTCACAAAGGAAAGGAATGTGCAGCGCTGCGAGGCTTCTCTGCGCAAAGTAGCCGCATCGCGAAGCTTCTCAAAGTTTAGGCGGATTGCCTGCGACTGACCGTGGCCCTGTGCTGTGCCACGTGGGGTCTTCGTGCCTGGGCATCTCAAACAAGCTCTCCAAGCCCGTTCAAATCAAAACCGGCCACCGCATGCGACTTGCCGAAGAGAAACCGCTCTCTGAACCGAGGCCAGCACAGAGCGGGAGCCATGCATGCAGCAAAGGCTGCCCTCAGCTCCAGGAGCCCAAAGCGTGCCCAAGACATCCCAAGACAAGCGGCGCCACGGGTTGTCGAGGAAACTTGGACTTTTTTCCCTCCTACCTAGCAAGGACAAAGCCCGCATTGTAGGCTTTAGGGCAAACGCTTCACTTCTGAAGAGTCCGTGACACAGAAAGTCACGGGGCGGTTCGGGGACCATCGTGGGGAATCCCACGGCCTTTTAACCAAACTCTGAGGGCCGCACTTCCACTGAGGCCGAGGATAGGCACTGGGAAGGTCCCAGCTCGCAACCTCCCCGGGCGTTTTTGCCGTGAGCCTTCTGCTGTGCTACATGTGTAGTCATCATCACTGTTCCTGCTGCGGCGGGTTTGATAACCATGACCATAGTGAATATAATTCTTAACCGGCTTGTTCTTACAGTTCTTCTTCTTCTCGCGGCCCATTCTGGCGACATGGCACCAGCTTGGAATTGTGCTCTAAGCTTGCCTCCCTGCCAAAACGGAGAAGCTCATGCTACCAAAATGTGTATGGCTTTATGGTAGCTAGTACATGTAGGTACCTTAGTTATGACGCTGGCATGAACACTATCACTCGTATCAACAATGGCACGAACACACTTACAAATACTCACATTGAGCAAGACTGATAGTAGTCGAGACATCTGCCGTGGAAGCCGCCGCAACTGAGGTTTGGTGGAATTGATAGTGGTAGTGGTGGTGACTGGTAGTGGCAGTGGCAGTGGTAGTGGTACTGGTACTGGTGGTGGTACAACTGGTCAGTGCTGGATTTTGTCTGCAACTCCCGACACTGCCCAGCCCTCGGCACCTGTCCAGCGCCTCGAGAGGTATCCTGAACCTGAGCAACAGGTGAGCCCAAGCTAAATGAACAAAAAATCGAAGAAGCAATTCAACAAGCAAACAGACAACCCAAAAAAAGTATGCACATTGCACATCTCTGTACATGTGCGTGTGCGTGTGCGTGTGCGTGTGCGTGTGCGTGTGCGTGTGCGTGTGCGTGTGCGTGTGCGTGTGCGTGTGCGTGTGCGTGTGCGTGTGCTTGTGCGTGTGCGTGTGCGTGTGCGTGTGCGTGTGCGTGTGCGTGTGCGTGTGCGTGTGCGTGTGCGTGTGTGCGTGTGCGTGTGCGTGTGCGTGTGCGTGTGCGTGTGCGTGTGCGTGTGCGTGTGCGTGTGCGTGTGCGTGTGCGTGTGCGTGTGCGTGTGCGTGTGCGTGTGCGTGTGCGTGTGCGTGTGCGTGTGCGTGTGCGTGTGCGTGTGCGTGTGCGTGTGCGTGTGCGTGTGCGTGTGCGTGTGCGTGTGCGTGTGCGTGTGCGTGTGCGTGTGCGTGTGGGTGTGGGGGTGCGTGTGTGTGTGTGTGTGTGTGTGTGTGTGTGTGTGTGTGTGTGTGTGTGTGTGTGTGTGTGTGTGTGTGTGTGTGTGTGTGTGTGTGTGTGTGTGTGTGTGTGTGTGTGTGTGTGTGTGTGTGTGTGTGTGTGTGTGTGTGTGTGTGTGTGTGTGTGTGTGTGTGTGTGTGTGTGTGTGTGTGTGTGTGTGTGTGTGTGTGTGTGTGTGTGTGTGTGTGTGTGTGTGTGTGTGTGTGTGTGTGTGTGTGTGTGTGTGTGTGGTGTGTGTGTGTGTGTGTGTGTGTGTGTGTGTGGTGTGTGTGTGTGTGTGTGTGTGTGTGTGTGTGTGGGTGGGGGGGGGTGGGGGGGCTTGATGCCGCTTGATATGCATACATGCTTTGGTGTGCATGCGCTGTTGTCCTTTCGCTCATGGCACATTCTACTTAAGTTGAAGGCAGTAGACGAACTCTGTCTGTGGTCTTCACGTATCCTCGTGTGACCGGACCGGTGGAACAAGAAGATAAACTACTACTCCTACTGCTCCTACTACTACTACTACCACCACTACCACTACCACCACTCCTACTACTACTACTACTACTACTACCACTACTCCTACTACTACTACTACTACCACTACTGCCTACATGTGCGGCCTTAGGTTTGCAGCCCTCCGAGGGTACGGGCTGGGCAGCACCATGTGGCAGAATCAACCTCTCGCCTCGGCGAAACGAGCCGAAAGCTTCCGAAAAGGGCTCGGCTTGCCAGCGGCGCAACATATCTCACACGCTTGCGATGAAACCTGGCGAAAAGAGACAAAACATCACATAACATGACACGGAGAGGGTCATTGGAGGTAGCATGGCTTACTTGTCGATGGGAAGAGTCTTCAGACGATCCGGCATCTTGTGCCTGACGCGTGTAGGTTTGCGGGGTTTCCTGTTTAGAGGGAGGAGATGCCACCTCGAGTCGGCAGCAAAAAGCCTCCAGCACAGATTCCATACCAACCCACATGGAGGCGTTTAAGTGTTCAGTCGTTGAATGCCCACGAAATCCGTATAATCTAATCCGCAATCATTGATCATGATAAAGCCTGTGTCTCGTGCAAATGGGAGGTGCCGGAGCTGTCAGGACATCAGCACCAAACCTTGGCAGCAGAACGGGATCTCATCATGGAGAGGGGCTTCGGAACTGGAGGGCTGTGTTGAAGTTCAGCTAGACGCCGACCGAAGTAGCCCACACAAGGCATCCTGAAGTCTCTCGCGCCCAAGTTCTCAAAGCCACCCTCAGCGTGAAGCCTTGAAGCGACACACCTTCTCTTACTAGTCCTTACGTGCGCCGAGTTGCTGCGGCAACAGACCAGGTTCCGGGCCAGCCTGCTGCCCAAAGAGGGTACATCATATGTTTTGAGATATAGCGGGTCATGCCAGTGATGAACTGACATTTCAATAGCTAATGGTAGCAGCTTATCGTGCGATAAATGCGTCGTGGTCTTCGGGGCATGTTTGCGTGTGTGCTCTCCCGGTTGAGCTGGATGGCTCCAGCGTGAACATCCCAAGTGAGTATTGAGTACGATGCTATAAACCTCCAAACCAAAAGCAGCGAACTAAAGCCAAGCTTTCCCCAAGTCCACTCTTCGAGCTGCGGGCCTCGAAGCGTCCACTTTTTGTGGGAACGCGCGGGTCCTTCCGTGATTCTGGTGGTGAGAACTATATCATATGATGTACGCGTGTATGTGTATGCATGTAATGTATGCATGCATGCATTGGGTTGTTGGAATGGATTGTCTTGTCTTGTGTTGGTTTGCGATGTGTTGTGTTGCATTGTATGTGTTTGCGTGTTTGTATGTTTGTGTGTTTGAATGTTTGTACGTTTGTGTGTACGTACGTATGTATGTATGTACGCATGCATGTATGTGATTATGTAATACGTACACTGCGCTTTCCACATCCTTTCATGTGCTGACTTATGCGTTGATCTAACAGAAATGGAACGCTTTGACGGAAATGGGCGACAGATTGGATTAGAGCAAAAAGAATGCTAACTTCTACCATGTAATGCTAACTGTTAATTTGCTATGCATAGTTTCTAGATAAGGGCATCTTGCAAAATGATAGCCATGTTTCTGTTTCTCACACATCGCATCTTACAAATTGAGCTGGTAGGCTGGTCACGACCTTGAGACAGCCATCGTGTTGAGCATGCATTGAGTGATCAACGCCTTCATCACAAGACCTCCAGCCGATATGAGTAGTCTTCCTCGCATGACCAAACACGTCTCCTCGGGGCCGGCGCCGGCATTGAGATGCCGCCTGAACGTGGTGGTGCGGTGGGTGTCGGAAGAGGTCTTTCGGGGGGTTGGACAGCTGGTAGATTTCAGACCCTCGAGGATTTGCGGCCATTTCAGAGGACACAAGCAACAGATCCACCCGTCCGAAATGCATGTCTCAGTGCCGGCATGGCGAATAAGCGCTCTGAGCATACTGCGTTGCCAATTTCGTCGCTTGGTTCGCCTCGCACGTTGGAAAGAGCTGTGTGAGAGCCGAGGGCTACTGCGCCACACAGCCGCAAACCTTCCCCGCAAGGACTGCCGCCCTCCCTTTGATTTTCGTTCGGGGCCTCCAGCATCACAGCCCACAGAACGACCTGTTTGGGCTCCGTCTTCAACTAAAGCCCACACCGTCTGCACACATGCACAGACGTCCACTTCAAGCGCCGTATCCCTGAGCCGCAGCTCCTAAGCTCCCAGACGACAAAGATCAGGGTCACCACGAAGGAGAGGCTCAGAACACAGGCCCCAGGCCTCGGGCGCAAGTCGAAGGCTAAAGGCTGAAAAGCACAGAAAATCTCTTCAACTCTGAGAATCCAGGGTGTTTTCTTCTTTTTCTTCGTCAAGCCATCTCACACCTCTTCGGTGCTGTCTAGCTTTGCAGGACTGCTGGCACGAACCCACGGTTGCAGCATGGGACACGGCGCCGACAGTTGAAAGCGGCTTGGATGGCAGCTCTTGCAGGATGATGGCCAATTCAACTCCTTCCCTGCCCTGATCGGCAAACCAGACCATCCTAAATCCTGCAGAGCACTAATAAAACTGCTTGGCCAGGACATCTTGGACGTCCTGAGGCCTATCTGATCTGAAAGTCCCTGCGCTTAGCACAAGTACAAGTAAAACATTGTAAAACCTCATCTTCAACAAACAATTGCAAGCCCGCGTCGACATGCTCGAGACAAATGATTCCAGAGCGGGACACTGCATTCCGACAGCGTCCTGGCCTTGTGAGGGGGCTTGGACCCTGTAACTGTATGGCCGAAGCCACTGCAGGTAGGAAGGAATAGGTCCATTTTCCCTCTCTCCCCGAATCAGATCGGGCGGGTGTCGATCTAAACCCACATAGAGGGTATCTAACCGTGCAAAGAACTGTCTGCGACAGGAAATCGAAACTCTGCACTCACTGCATGCCACAGCGTTTAATGGCCGCTCGGGGCAAGGAAGCGCTTCGATGTTGCGTTCCTCGGCTTCGCAGGGATTCGCAGGCGCTCAAGGGCAAGCTCCTCAGCGTCTACTGCGACTGCGGGGTTCGGTCTGAGATCAACCTAACCCCCGGTTCAGCCCAAAGGAACACCACACCGCTGCCGAGGATCGTGTGGTCCAGATCAAAGTCTTTCACCTCACAGGTTTGTGATCACTACTTTACCGCAGGCTCTCTTACATACGTCCTTGTATGTCTCTGACCCAACAGCCTTGTTTGTCTTTAGCCCACAGGTTTGTGCAGAGGCTTTCCTGCGTCCACTGCATTGTGACCGTGAGAAACCCACATCCAACAAGTGTGTTTTCAGGCAACCGGCTTTTGATCTGCATAAGCAACGGCCAACTGGGACTTCAACGATAGCTCGCAACCCAGGATGGTCCAGTCACCCTGTTTCGTTAAACTAACATTCCAGGGGCTGCTTGCATGACCACATGGAGTGGAAGACAAACTCGTTTGCTGTTGATTCAACCCGGTTCCGTTCGACCGCCCGAGCGATGTATCAGATACTTCAGGCTAGAAAAACCGGATCTTTCAAACTAGAACTGAGGGCATGAATTTGGATGTGTCGGGAAACGAACAGTCTCCAATGTCTCCACCACTGTAGTCAATAAGTGCTAAATCAGCATGCAACTCAGCCATCACCACTACAGTACCCGTCACTCAAGGCCCCAGTTCCACTTCTGGCCTCAAGGAAAGTCTCCGGCTTCTCATGCGCATGCTTGGCTACGGCAAAGCCCAGGCGCTTGTGCCTGAGATCAAATCATGGCATGCAGGCTTAAACATCCAGCCTCACCTGCTTCGCTGCGGATCGCCGACAAGAAAGCGTCCCCACAAAGACCCCCAGCTCGGCACTGCTGTCCCATTGTGGGATCTCAAAGTTTGGGTGCACCCACGACTAATCTGCGAAGCGTCTTTCGGTCGAACACGGTGTAGTACCTCACAGGCTCCACGAAACACAAAACAACCAGGAACCGACGGCCCTGAAAGGTTTGTAGGGACTGACATGCCGCAACTCTGGTTTCAGACTGAGATGAGAGCGTAGGTACTGATGGATGCAAGCATGAATGCATGCATACGAGTACGTATGAACGCATGTAGGCACGTGCGCATGTACACATGTGCGTGTGTGTGTGTGTGTCAGTATGTCAAAATGCCAAGACGAATAGGAAATTAAAGCATAGTTCAGTTCAGCTGTAGTGTAGTGTAGTATTGTGTAGTATATTGTAGTATAGTGTAGTAGATTGTAGGGTGTGGCAGAGTGTGGTAGAGTGTAGTAGGATGTAGTAGTGCGTAGTAGTGTAGTATAGAGTGTAGTATTAGTGTAGTGTAGCGTGTATAGTGTACACTGTATAGTGTATTGTGCATAGCACAAAATAGTATTAATGTGTATAGTGCTTAAAATCTACTGTGTACAGTGCAGATAGTCTACAGTATATAGCAGTGTGTAGCATATCGTACATAGTATCTAGTTTATACACACGCAGCATGTAGCATATAGTGTATAGTAACGTATGGCAACGTATGGTATTAGCATAGTTTTGAGTAGTCACATGCATGGCATAACATGGCACAGCGGAGTATAGCATAGTATAGCATAGTACGGTGCAGTATGTATACTTGCAGGTGTGTCTGTTATGCTTGTATGTATGAATGTATGTATGTTTGTGTGTGTGTATGTACATGTATGTATGTACGTGTATGTATGTCTATGTAACGGTGTAGGTGTAAGTCTGCAAACAAATGCATGCAGGTTCGTATGCACGTGCGTCCGCACGTAGGTATGCACGTGCGTACGTCTACGTGCGTATGTATGAATGTGTGTCGGCGTCTGTAAATATGCATGCCTGTGTGTATGCAAGCATGCATACAGACGTGTGCATGTATGTGTAAGCATGTGTATGTGTGCGTGCGTGCGTGCGTGCGTGCGTGCGTGCGTGTCTGTGTGTGTGTGTGCGTGTTTTTGTGTGCATGTGCGTATGGTATGTATTTAAGTGTGCAACCTGTATGCATGCAGGTGAATATGTAAGTCACGTACGTACGCAAGAGGGTGCGCGTGTGCGTGTATGTGTGTGTAAAGAGTATGTGCACATGAGTGTATGCGTGTTTGTGCCCATGCATGCAGGTATGTGTACGTACGTGTGTATGTTTATGTATGCATGTATGCATGTATGTATGCATGCATGTCGTGCTTATGTTGATGAGTAGGCTGTATCGGTGTGTATGTGCATGTGGACATGAAATTGTAGGCTTAGGTGTAGACTCAGATGCCTTCTACTTACACACACACATACATCCATACATCCATGCATCCATACATCCATACATCCATACATGCGTACATGCACACATGCATACATGCATACATGCACACATGCATGCATAGACATATGCATATACACACATATCTCTCTCACACGGACTCAGTTACCTGTCAGCCGCGACGCAATACACTGCGGTTTCGCTATGTGCGTGTATCTACAAGACAATGGAATGCGGGAAATGGGACTACCGAAATGACTACAAGGACCTCACATGCATCGCCCATTCATCTGGGATGACTTCAGTATGGATCTGAGGCAGCTGTGCGGAATTGTGTGTGTGCATACTCGTCCCAAAGAGGGCCATGCGATGATACGAGAGCAGCTGGACATACCATAAACACATATATCTATATGTATATATGCATATCGTGATTATGCATACGCATGTATGTGCTTGCATGCACGCATGTATACAGGTATGTATGCTGCTATGTGCACATGCGTTACGGGCATGGCATGAGCACAACATTGGCCCAGGTGCTTCTCCAAGAAAGGAACACCCAGCACGAAGAGCGGGCCTGTTGCTGAGACAAAGGCTTTCCGGATTCTACTGGCGTCTTCGCGCTCGATTGTTCCTGATCGTTATTAACCAGATATTCACAGCGGGTGCTGCGACAATCGGCTTCGAAAACACCATAAGTTGTTTGCAAGTAGTCGCCAGTTATGGCAACAACAATTGATGTGAAAGTACACTACACAAAGACCCAGCTTTAGGCACGCCTCGAGCCTTGCCCCAGTGAGACCTGCTCTAGACTCCAAGAAAGAAGTATGCCGCGAAATCACTCAAGACGTTTTGATCCCACAAATCAACACACTGGGCCCAAAGTAGAAGACTCTCCGGTCAAAGTGCCGTTGGGCGGAGGAATGTCCAGGGGCATCAGAGCCAGGTTGCACGGCCTTGGGCAGGTGTCTAGAATGCAGAACACCATCGACGTCCATCAAACATGGTCTGACAGCAGCTTGTCACAATAGCGACACGACAGAGAAGTCGCGCGCAACCGGCAAGCATGACAAACTAACACGATCCGACCAACCAAACCAACGATAAACCTAATACAATCATCCAGAAGCGTGCCTACAGAGCGTAAACTGGTAGCACGACATGTAGCAGTTTGAGGCTGGCTTGAGCTGCTCCAAAATCATGATTTGAAACGGATCAAGACTAAACGTGTCTAGGAAAGGCTGTGCATGAGACGTAGTAGCAGCTGGGAAGCTCAGCTTGAGGTGATTTGCAAGACAAGGACAACATCGCACCCAAAGTCATGTCTCAAGATGCATTAAAAATCGCAAATCAAATGTGCCTGCCTGCCTGCCTCCGCCACATGCAATCAATCAGGGAGATCAGCGCTGTTTTCTGTCAAGTCTCTGTACACGGCGCATGCGCCGATCGCCCCTCTGCATGGCGCAACTCGCCTCTCCCTTGGGATCCAATTTTAGGCAGACCGCCTGTCATGGCGCCAAGGAAGAGGAACAACGCGCAGCAGCGCGTGGCTGCGCAAAGCCGACGGAACACACCACTTAGTAGCGGTACGTGTCTGGCTTGAAAGGCCCCTCAACGGGCACGCCGATGTAGTCGGCTTGCTCTTTGCTCAACTTGGTCATGCTGGCACCGAGCGCAGGAAGGTGGAGTGCGGCCACCTTCTCATCCAGCTTCTTTGGCGGCAGGTACACGTCGTTCTTGTAGTTATTGGCCTTTGTGCAGTTTTCCAAGATGTCCAGCTGCGCCAGCACTTGGTTGGTGAAGGAGAAAGACATCACGAAGGATGGGTGGCCAGTCGCACAGCCAAGGTTCACCAGGCGACCAGAGGCCAGCACTATGACACCGTGGCCATCCGGGAAGACGAAGCGATCAACCTGCGGCTTGATGTTCTCCACCTTGATGCCAGCGCACTTCTCCAGATCCTCCATGGCGATCTCGTTGTCGAAGTGGCCGATATTGCACACGATGGCATTGTTCTTCATCTTCTTCATGTGCTCCAGAGTTATAACTTTGAAGTTGCCTGTGGCAGATATGAAAATGTCAACCTCTCCAACGGCCTCCTCAAGGGTCACGACCTGGAAGCCCTCCATGCAGGCCTGCAGCGCGCAGATGAGGTCGATCACAGTGATGAGGTCCTTTGCGGCCTTCTGCTGAGCCTCTTCGAAACTGGGTCCCGTACTTGGTTTGCCAATGCCCCGCGGCGTATGTCCAGTTGCCCTTGTTGAGGTCACCCAGACTTCGCTGGTACGTCACACTGTAAGCCTGGAGCTTCGCAGTGAACTGCGTGAGAGCCTCAAGCAATCCAAATGCATGTGTTTGTTTGGACATGAACCCCTTTTCGAACACTTGTGCAAGCGTCTTTACGCGAATTGGGTGACTTGCCTTGGCAATGCATCGCGGTGTCGAAGAGCTCCAGATGCTGGCCACTTTGCCTTAGGAGTCACATTTATCGCTCAACTACCTGACATGGCAAACAGGAGGCCGTCTCCAGGGAGTCTTTGGCACATCGCACAACCAAGTGACGCCTGCTCCCAGCGGGTGAAGGCGACGAAGCGCAGCACCAGGAACAACTAGGACTGTTCACTGTGCGGTCGGCCAGGCATCCTGTTGGTTTGCCCCAGAGCCCGTAGCCAGCCACCAGGGCACGCTTGCCACCGATCATCACGTCCGTAGATCCTTCACCTTGCAGTCTGCCATGCTTCCAAAGTCGAGTCTACGAGAACGGAAGGATGCCTTTCGAAGCTTGATGGGCCAGTGCCAACGCGAAGATCGTGTTCATGTGGCGCCTGCCCTCCTCAGGGCAACGGCCGCTGCCGCTGCGGTGTCGGAAGAGGGAGTCAACGGGAGGGCGTGCAGGAGGTGTGAAGAAAGCGCACAGGCTCAGGTGTGATAACCCAAAAGTGAAAGTTGTGTGCAGGTCCAGGCCAGGGGCGAACAGCGACGTTCAATCTACAACATCCTGTACCAGCAAACTCGGGAGATTTGGCACCAACAAGGAGCAAGCCATGCTACGGTCAACCGTTGCTGCAAGCTTTTTGCGTCCAGCCTCCACAGCTCCTGCAAAGCTACTCGGCGGGATGCTCTCGACACATTGATTCGTGGACTCCATGTACACGGCGCATGCGCCGATCGCCCCTCTGCATGGCGCAACTCGCCTCTCCCTTGGGATCCACTTTCAGGCAGACCGCCTGTCATGGCGCCAAGGAAGAGGGCAGCGCGTGGTTGCACGAAACCGACGGAACACGCCACTTAGCAGCGGTACGTGTCTGGCTTGAAAGGCCCCTCAACGCGCACGCCGACGCACCTTCTTGTCCAGCTTCAATGCATTTCCACGCGGATGCCATGGCTCACTGGCTTCGGCTCGCATACCCCTCGACTTGTGCGAGGGGCCTGTATATCCGAAATATCCCCGAAATCCTCCAAACATCCCTCAGCTTATCTATTGACAGAAAAGTAGCTGATCGTGGGTGTAATGCTCCGGCGACAGCGAGAGCAACTTCGTCTTGCCGCCACTGCCGTGTTCCTGCGGTCGCAGCTGCGCAGAGTTGTTCCACTCCTTCTTTGCACTTCTTGATCGGTCAGCACTGAATCAGCACGCGGCAAGTCGTTCACTACCTAAGATCTCCTCGCTAAACCCACCGAAAACTCCGGCACAGAAGCTCCTTGATTGCAAATCCGAGCTTCGGAAGCCTGGGCAACGGGAGGAGTAGGGAGTTTATCAGCTGCACGAAGCTTAGCGGCTGATAGCGCACTTTCCTCCGAGAGGCTTCGCCCTCTCTTTGCAGTTCTTGATGCTCAGCCTCAGCTCCGCTCGCTCCGCTCCAGGAGCCCCTAAACCCGGGAAGGCCCATTTTTGCCGAAAGCCGGGGCCCCGGCTTGTCTGAGAGGTGGTCGATGACGTGCTGCGGCCCGGCGATTTCAGAGGAGCCCGTGTCGATGGCCACGTGGCAGCCTCAAAGGCATGATGAAAGAGACGACATACTGACATACTGCGCTCCCAAGTTGAAAGCCACGGGCCTGTAATGCACTACTCGCATCAGCCAACCTGACCTGCCACCTATCACGGCCCCAGAAATCTCAAACATCTCGCCCCAGAAATCTCAAACATCTCGCGGCAGTGCCTTTGCAGATGTTCTGGGCCGTATCATCGAGGAAGATGTCCTACAGAGGGTCTGCACCCCGGCATAGCGCTGCACAACAGATTGAGACGCGTCGACTGCTTTCGCTTGATGGTGTACAACCAGTGGGGCGGAGGAAAACACGCCCCAATTCCCGATCCTGGATCTCGACCTGCCAGTAGCCAGCTTTGCCACTGACTTTGAACCAATACATCTTGGAGCCCAGCTTGTCCTCACAACAAGACCACGACGTGTCCGACCACCGAGTTTTGGCACTGCCCCTACTACATGCGGCTGTCATCGGAGTTACCCTGTGGCGGCTCATGCTAAATCTTTGTGTCGGGGCAACGTTCCACTCAATGTCAATTCTTTGCTCTGAATCTGAGATCCTGAACGCAGAGCCTGTGTCACTATTCGCCTGAATGCGCCCAGGCCTTCTGGATGTCGCCGAACGTGATTTCAGACTTTTCCTTGGTTTCAATTCTGGAATGTCTGCGGGCATCCGCGACCAGCTGCAGCACAGTCGAGACAAAAGAGACAGGCCGCTTCCTTTGCCCGGGCGAAGAAGAATGCGAAGAGCGGCGACTTGATGCTCTGCCCATGCTCCTGAGGCATGACCATCTTGCAAGGAACGCTCCTGGTTCTCTTTGCAGCTCTAGGTCCTGGGAGTTTCGCTCCGAACACAACGCAGCCCCTACAAAGCCGAGAGTAAGCAAGCTCCAAAGGCCCTTCTGCCGTACCTTCCCGATCCTGACCCTCGAGGTTTCCAGAAGAGTAGCCCTGCAAGCCCAGGCTCGAGACGCTGCATGATGCTGAAGTCGGTCGCCTGCGCCTCAGCCGATAGATCTCGCAGTCTGACATGCTATCTGCCGTCGGATCCGAGGTGCCAAGGAGTCCAATCCCAAGCCGAGGATTCCATCGAAACTGACCCACTCGAAGGGGTCGTTGCTCTCCTGGAGCCGGGTGCTACTGGTAGAAGCCATCGTTTTAGTTAATGCAGTCCGGTCGAAAGGAAGCAACGGCATCAGAGCAAATGGCACAAGGACAGCCCAGCTGATGACAACCGGCAGCAACACGGAGACCAAGACACCCTGGACTGTTGGAGGCTGACCGAAGCAGCAAAAATGCCTCGAAGGATGAGATGAACTTGGCCGGTGCGCACATCTTTTCCCCGAGGCAGACGCGGTCCCTGAAGCCTCAGTTCGGAGATCCTCTCTCGTCTCTCGCTCCCGAAACAACGGCGACACGTCGAGAAGCAGTGTCCACGGACCTCTCCCGTGCCGAAGGTGACCACAAGGTCATTGGGAACCTCGTTCGACCCGACCTTAAACAGCAAGCGATGCACGGCACCCTTCCGTCGAACATTCAGCGACCAGTGACCTCGCCGCCGTCGCAGTGGTGTGCATGGCTTGTCTTGCTCCGCGCATCATCAAACCTCGCAGGGGCGTAGATGGGCCCATGACGAGGTCTTCCCACTGCGTCCTGGCCTCCTGTGCTGCATGCAGGCAGAGACGGTGCAGTTGACACCCGGGACGATGAGATTCCCGCTGCCTGTGTCGAAGATCACCTCGAACTCCTGAAACTTCTGCTCCCCCGAGCACCCACCCCCACTAGAGTCACTAGATTTTTTGCGAAGACTCTTTCCGTCTCCGCCATGGAGACATGGCAGTCTTGCATCATGCCGGCACTCTTCATGTGAGCTTCACAAGCCGCAAGCCCCGCCAGCCCCGGCTCCTGTGGTGGATTTCCAACAGTCACCTGCGCATTCGCACGACCAACCCTAACAGAGTAGCGCTTCCCTCTCGCCAGTAGCTGCACCTTGCCAGTGTAGGCCATGTCCGTCTGCGTGAGGGCCGTCGACCCAAATCGCCTCTCACAAGACTCCACTGAGGCCAGAGGTAGCAAGGACCGCGAAAGCTTCGAGAATCCAAAAGCCTCTTGAGACCACCGCGACGCTTTTTCAGCTCAATGGCGACCTCTGGTGGCATCGGCAGGGTTTGGCTTTCCAGGCAACGGCGATTCACTGTCTAGAGTCTAGAGCATCTGCCTTCAAGTAGCAAGCTACTGGCCCGTCTACAGTCTACAGCTGCTGAGGCAGCACAGGTCGGCTCTTGGACTTCTCTGCCACGCTGCCGAACTTCGTGTGTCCGTGTCCGTGACAATCCTGGGCAGCAAGCTGCTCCAGAAACGCAAAGGATCCTACTACACATCCTGGGACCGGGACCCGTTCCTGCCCTTACAAACCACCGGCTCACCGACTTCCCTTCGCCCAGCCTGGCCTAAGCCTTCGCAGCGCAACGCTGCTCCTATCCCCTGCAAAGGACAATGACGCGTCTAGTCCATCTTGTCTTCATGTCCGCACTTCGCATTTGCCTTGCTCCAATGTACTTTACCGTCAGTGTCACAGGCAAAGAACTTCAGCACACTTCCAGCTCGACAAGAGGCGCGAGGAGGAGGCACGGAAGGCCGGCGAGCAGGAGGACACGCATTTGGTAGTTGGTTTCCTGAGCTTCCATTTGTTTGAACCTTTTTGAATCGAGAGGACCGCAAGGAATCTGACATGCGCTGAAAACTCCCTGGCCTAACATCATCGAAACGAGAACTAGTCAAGCAGCCCAACCCACTGTCCTAGATCGCCAGGCTGCTCGACTTTGTTCAAACTGGTCGGATATACCAAAAACACATCAGGGAGACTCTGATCGAAGAGCCGATATACTTACATCTACGGCGGCTGCTGTACCAACGAGGTTTCCTGCTCGTTGGATTGGCAACCCACTCCATGCCATTGAACGCAAAAACCGCGTCACATCCTTTCTCAAGGTGGCCAATACCCCGCCCAGGCGCGGTACCGGAAGCGTAGCGTAGTAGATCGGTGGAGACCGAGGGTCCCACAAGTAGAGCGTGGCTTGAGCCGCAGTGCCAAGGCGACGATGCACATCAAACGTCAACTCCCGGCAAGCCACAGCAAACGCGACAGGTCTCTGGGTCGGACTGCTAGTAAGCTGGAAAGCAAGGATGTGAGCAAGACAGTTGCAAGACACGGCGGGCTTCGGCACGAGTGCCGGCGAAGCATCACACAAATGGAAAAGGCAGCTTACGCGGCTTACCCTGTCAGTCGTGATGGATGGTGTCCGGTCGATCATGCTCAGGCTGAAACCAAGCTATTATGTCTCGCGTTCTCTGCGTCGCTGTTGACGAAACCAACGACATGAGAGCCTGGGCGCGACACATCAACACATTGCGTGGTGCCCGTGCTTGCCTGACTGCGCATTGTCTCTGCATTTCTTGAGGGCCTGCTGCCTTCAATGTTCATTCGGAATCAACTGGCCTGGAAGAACCCAAGCAAGAAACGGGTCTGAGGACGTCTCCAAGGGCGTGCTCGCATTGAGGGTGGACGTTGCATTTCCTCCCCTGGGCAAAAGCGCTGACGGACAATGGCTCCCCGAAGTTTGACCACGCTTGTCTGCCTGCGTGCTCTCCTAAATGCTTGCTCCCGTCGCAATGCTGCATCAATGGATCGTGGCTTTACGGATCAACGACACGCTATTCATCACGTGGCCCAGCACGAGCGACCATAAAGAAAACTCGATGCCACCACGCTTTCAGCCACTCAGCCCGACAGAGGGCCACGCCAGCCAAAGGCGAACTCAAAAGCCTGGCTCCAAAATGCATGCCAACAAGAAAGACTCCCACGGAGCACTTGTGTCACCAAAAACTCGGAATCTTACGGACCCTTCCTATACACACCTGCGACGATGGTAGTGTAAAGCGGCCGGCCTTTAAAAGGATAGCCTAGGAATCAAAACAAAAAAGTACAGAAGTGAGCCTCCTGCGCTCGACCCCACATGCCCACCCAGTCTTGAACCTAGTCAATGTGGCTGCTACCGCAAGCAGCGCATGGGGCGACTGAAAACAGAGACGGTCGCGGTCGTGAAGAATGAGGAAAAAGCTCCTGGTCTCGCTGCCTCCGTGTTTTGAAGCTGTTGAGAAGCTTTTGGAGGCGTCTATGCGAAGAAAAAGCTGCACAAAGACTGGCCAGGGTCTGGCGCTGAGCCCAAAGCAGTGTCAGTGATTTCTGCAGCAGCGAGAACCTTTCACGGGAGAACTAGAGCAGAAGACGTGCAGAAGCAGACACCATTCCAATGCACTCAGAATGTCAAAGCATCGCCATGCACTCTAAACTTCATCACACCCTGACCCGAGTCCGAGTCGTGAGCTCCAAGGCTGCATCAGCATCTGCAAGATCTGGGACCCCCTCCAGAGCCACAATGTCATGAGTCTTGGGCACGTCCCTCTAAAACTACTGCGCAGTGCATGAGTGTACGGATATATAAGGCTGAACAAGATCATAAGCTCGGGGTGTCCCCAAGAATGCCACAGATTGGGCAGTAAGCTCATGCGGACGCGTCCTCCATGTCCGGGTCCATGACCATGTCACCGCAGCCGCCGGTTTTTTCCTCAGCATCTCGTCTTGACTCGGGAGGGCACAACAGCACGAATCTTGGTGAAGACGGCTTGCACTGAGAACGTCAACCTCTAACTTATTGCACCTTGAACCCAAGTACACCCACGTGCTTGAAGAAGAACTCCGCTCTTTGGTTGAGCCCCACAACACGCCGACTCTCCGTCTCTCTGCATACAGCTGAGAGGGTGGCCGCTGCGGGCAAAATGAAAAGTAGGGATACCTCGACATCGCAAGCTTGTGTGTTCTTGTGGAATATGTCCGCCGTCGCCGAATCACTGCAGTTCGACCCTGGCGGTTTCACAACTACCTGTTTGCAACTTCGGAACTTCTTCGCATGCTGAGTCCCTTGTGTAAACCACTCATTCTGACTCGGCCCACATTATCCAAAAAGCAAAGCTGTGGAAACTGATGGAAACTTCGGACATGTGATACGATGTAGTTTTCAAGACAGTTTGGACTTGAACTGACGATGTTCGGATCTTCCTCCGCTTCCGCCGTTGACGACGCAACTTTGTCTTGGAAACCGCACGGATCTGGGGAAGAGCTGCAAAGAGGCACTCGTCGTGTGATGACGAATGTCGACAGCAGGCTAAACAATTTTTACCGCAGCGGCACGAGTTGCGTTGCAGGCTGCCGTTCCACATGGAGAAGCACTAGGCTGTCTGTGCCAGCAAACAATCTTCCCGAAAGCATGGCGAGGGCTTTGCCGTGGAGCTGGTTGGGATGGCATGATGTGGTGATGCTGGTGTGGTGATGATGATGATGATGATGATGTCGCGGCCTTGTGGCGACGATCAAAAGCAATAACTGCTCTTATCAGCAAGACGACTGGAATACCTCGAACAGGAGACTTGTGTGTCACATCTGTTTTGCTAGCGAAATGTCTTCATCAGCTCCAAGCCTTCACATGTTGCCGTAAGGAAGTCACGAGGTGTGTCTTTTGTTTGTCTAAATCAATAAACAGATTTTAGTGAAGGGGACGGGGCTAGGAAATCGCCACGCATCGGAAATTGCCCCCGCGAGGGCATGGTGCCATGACCATGTGCCCTGGCTTTTTTTCCAATACATTGGCCTAACGGTTCGTCTCCAAATCAACCCTCTCAGTGTGTTGAATACCACAAGTACTTGGGGAAACATCCTAGTCCTGTAACGCCGCATGTTGAGTGTTGGTTGTGCCGCCGGCACACGGGGGAAGCATTTCGGTTGCGGGAAACCGCACTGCACACGTAGCTGCCGATTCGTGTGTGGTCATGTGGGTAGATGAATGGAGGTAAGATGAGGCAAGTTGGATGAATGATAGGATGAATGGATGTAAGTGTGAGTGCATGGATGGGTGGATGAATTAATGAATGGATGGAAGGACGGACGGATGAATGGATGGATGAATGGATGATGGATTGCAGGGTGAGATGATGTTCGGCGTTACCGCGCTGCTCTAAATACATGTGGGCACCTCGTTCTCACGTCATATTCCAGCCGCGCATGCACGCGCCGCAACACACCCAACATGGGCAAGCAAAATCGAGGCCGCACGCACAAAGCACATATGACTCCACAAGGGCCCATGTCCCACCCACGGCCCCCACGCCGAGGATCCATCGGCTCATCTTCCGTCCTTGGCTTGACAAAAGCCATGTGCCGTCTTTCTAACGAGGCCCTCCTCCTGGCCCTTAGCCCTCCCTAGACCACGGCATTCTCCGATCAGGCCCAGTTGCGGATGAAGTGGGGCTTCTGTATCGGAAGGACTCCTTCACCATCCGTGCCGGACCTGGGACAGTAGGAGGAGAGATTCCCGAGTCTTCTGTGAGACGAGTGAGCGGCTCTATCTACCCCAAGGAGACGTGGAAAGGTCCATCTCTCCGAAATGAAGATTGAGAAACTGCCCTCCGAGTTGTGAGCCGTTGCCAGCGAAGGACGGTGAGCTACGGCGGGCATTCGAATCGGGAGCCGAAAGGCAGCACAAGGCGCTTCTCTGAAGCCTCTCAGGCTGGAAGATCTGAAAGGGCTCGGAATCCGAAACCTTCTCTGAACTTCGGAGACTTTGACTGTCCAGAAAATGCACCATGCATGATCCCGCAAGGCGCGTTTTGACTTTGCCCACATGTTTGCAGGTTAGTGAAACGTGGGTTGAAGCTGATAGTGGCGGCTGTATTCACTGCCACAGGGAGCCAGAACCCCATCCGTCTGTTTGCAGAGAGGGAGAGAGAGAGTTAGCTCTGACATACTGTCAGGCCGGTCGTTGTGGGCCCTTATGCCATGTGCCCCCTGGAGCTCGTTGGTGTTGCTGATGGGCAGGCCGCCCTTGACACAAGCTGCCTTCGTCGCCATCTCTTTGTCTTGCAACCAGTCGGATCCGGAGCATACGCCAGGGGAGGTCTACCATGGGCTCCAAACAGATATACAAAGTAGAACAGCTTTCTGCAATGCACCATGTCAGACAGCCGCCCCCGGGCAACCTTCTCCTATCTCTATGTATAAGCGGCTCGGCAACGCCCTGCCCAGCTTGGCTGGTCAGGAGAGATACGCAGTGCCGCACATGGGCCTACGCGGTCCTTGGCTTACTGACCTTTCCCGATATTCTACACAATCGTCATCTAGCCGACAGGGCGTACATTCAGATCAGCCATAGCGTCTTGAAGCACGGCCGCAGTTTCACCTTGCACTGAGCGCAGAACACCGACACTCGGGTTTGCCTTATCAGTGTTCTTTCCTGTCTCCAAAGTACGGGCTAGTGTGCAAGGTTCCGCCTTACCCAGGCCCGGGCTGGGGCCGAAAGATAAGCCGGACGGCACATGCTTTCTGAGGGCCCCGCTGTGTCCGTACTTCTTCGCACACCTGGACACACATGTTGGATAAGGGCTGCTAGAAGTACTTCACACAAACAAGTCCCTCAGACGCTCCGGCGCATGAATTGGCGGCCCTGGGCACCGAGCTGCAGGGCCGTGCGACCGGCGGGAGTCTTGACCTGGCTAGGCTTCATGAGTTGGTCTCCGGCACAACAAGAAGACTTCATAACACCATTAAGGCTCACGATCAGGGTTAACAAGGGGACTTGACTAAATCTGTGGCTAAAACATCCTGAACTGGAGCCTTGTGTCTGGCTCTCACCACACCTTGCGACCCTCGTACGCTGCAGTGATTCGCGAGATTTGGTAGCTTGTGTTGCTCTGGATACTGCACTTGTTTTCGTTGTCTACCCTACGCTGACTTTTTGTAGAAGTTCAGCTTAACTAACCGGCATATGAGGCTCATGCGACTCGCATGTTCTCGCACCTCGAGAAGTTCCGGACGGACGAGGAGCTTCACGATGCCAGCGTGGCCATTCCTGGTTGCGTTGCTGCTCATGCTTTGCACTGTCCGTTTTACTTAACCACGATCTCTCCCCGTTTCCACTAGCACAACCACCGCGGCTACCACTACCACCGCATCCGCAAGCATAAATAACAACATCCACCACCACCACCCACCACCACTGCTACTGCTACCGTCACTGCTTCTTCCCACTGCTACAGCGACGACTACTTACTGCTACTTCCACTGCTACCGTTGCTACGACCACTACTGCTCCTGCTTCGACAACTGCAACTGCTAGTGCTGCGACTTCCACTGGCCCAAAACCCAAGGAAATAAAAGTTGAAACTTTCAGGATCGACTACCTTATAAGAACCCCAAAAGTTGAAAAGTTGAGTTTACAGCCAATAAGCCACTGCCACTGCCACTTTCCTCCTCCTCCTCCTCCTCCTACTGCCCCTCCCTTTTCTTCTACTGCCTCCGGCGGACACTGCCCGGCCGTCGACGCCTACTTATAGGACATCACATGTCTCTGGCACCCGAAAAGTGCCACAAATGGCTGGCCTTTTGACCCCCGGGAGATTTTTTCGGAAATCCGCCTGCCGGTAAAACCATGTAAAATCCGTCTTATCTTGAGATGCGATGGCCAGGCATTTGTGTTTCGAGAAACGTCGACCCCAAACGGGAATAGCCGAGGTCAAAAATCCAACTGCCAGCCTTTTGTGATGGTGGATTCCTTCTCCCCTCATCCTCTCTCATTCTGTCCGTCTCTCCCTACCTCGTCCTCCCTACAGAGTGTGGCCTCTTGCTCAGCCGGCACTTGTTGAGCCTGCTGGGGCCTCAGCCCTGAAGGCGAGGCCCCTTGCGCCGGCCCCTCCGCGTCTTTCCCTTCAGGCAACACACTAATGGCTGGCACATCGGTAGTCGGCTTCAGAGTTCCCTGAGTGCGCGGGAAGCTCAACCCTCGCATGGCATTCATTCCAAGCAGGTATATATACAAGACATGAACCCCGTGCATGCCGCCGCAGCAAGAGCAAGACAGTCTCACTCTCTCCCCCTCTCCGGACTCTCTCCCTCTCTCCTGCTCTCCATCTCTCCCTCTCTCCCTCTCTCTCTCTCTCTCTCTCTCTCTCTCTCTCTCTTTCTTTCTTTCTGCAGGGCGTAGGGGTCGCGTGCGCCCCCCAGGCCTTAGGCCCGCCCGGCCCTCTCTCTGTGTTAGTGAGTGGCCGGTATCGGGGTTAGTCCAGACTACGGCAGTGTATTACTCGGTTTGCTCTGTGTTCTCGTGTAGGAATCCCCCGCTTAGAACACTAAACCCGCGCATCCCGGCCTCGTCGCCGGGCCCCTATGGCTAACGACATTCCTTAGTTCTAAGCGGATTCTCCTGGCGAGGACAGCAAGCGAGTACGGCAAGGTGTGGTTCCCCCTTGAGCTTCAGTACGACCCCACAGTAAAGCGGTTTCCCCCACCTTGCTCCTCCGTCTTGTGACGGGACACTGCAGAACGGAAAGTGGGAAGCTGCTCTGTCACCACGTGCCCCCCTGGAGAGGGTGAGACTGCAGCTACAGCTCTACTGGGGGTCCACACTGCGAGCCTCATGCGCAACAAAGCAGTCCTGGCACACGCTAGATAGGTTACGACCTGGGGCTGAAGGCTGAAAGTGTTACGTTCTTCATCTTTGTGTGGTGTTCCCCATTGGCTCTGAACTATGTGTCATCGGGTTGCACTCTGGGGCCTTGTACCAAAACCACACCGTAAATTACATAACGTAGGGTCCCCAGGCTTTGTGCTCCCCGTTCTGCAGCGGCTCGGCCTTGTGGCTACTGGCCAGGGGCGCCCTTCCACACAAGTTCGTCAGACCTAGCACCTACGGCCCTACGCGATAGCAACATACGCTCCCCCGGTCGCGCTGCTGGCAGAAAAGAAAAGAAAAGCTACTGTACTTGCTCCCCCTTCGCTCTGTTGGACCGTGAAAAACATGCAAGGACAGCTGCATCCCCTAGCCACAAGCACTGTAGTATCACACACACAGCCTCAGCTTAGCTACCCTAGTCGTCCTGGTCCAAGGAGCTGGGGTTTGAAAACCGGCGTCGCGGTTCAGTTGAGGTGCGTTGCAGAACCTCAGTCCTTCTGCGCCCCGCTGCGGTTGTAGGGGTCGGTGAGGCACTGGCCGCCGCTTCGCCTTCGTCGTCGCTCACGAGCTCGACGTTCTCCCCCGTCCCCCAGTAGTCGTGGGTCCAGTCGTCGAGGTTCTGTAGAGCTTTGCGAAGGTGGCTCAGCAGCTCCCCCGTGAGAAAGGGTAGTAGTGCTCGTAGTTGTTTACGTGCACGGAAAATCTTGAGGGCATCTGGGGTCGTCTGTGCTGGCCTTTGTTCCGGAGCTCCCCCATGTAGTGCTATCACGTCAGCAGGGTGCGCGGGTACTTTTTCCGCCTCTCCCCTATGTGGGTAGCTCCCCACCAGCACTTCCACTCCCTGCCTCCAGCATGTTCCGTAAGCTTCCCAGCTCCATGTTCCCCACGGGGTACGAAGCGATCATCGCCTGAAGCATGGCCTCTGCTTCCTCCCCCGCGTCTGTGGCGTCATGGGTACGTTGCCAGTTGCTGGAGCGCAGGCCTCCCCACAGCAACGCCTGCCCACTCTGAACCAGCTCCATGGTCTCGGCTAGCTCCCCCTCTGTTGGTGGGTCTCCTCTGCTCGCCCGTTCATCTAGTATCCCCGCCATGAGCACGGCGATCTGGAACGCGTTCGGTGTCGGCGGGGGGCTTCTGCCGCGTCTCCCCATGTTGCCATCTGTGGCTAGGCTGAGGCTCGTGGCTGCGGCGGCGAGGTGCGCCTGAACCCCGTAGAGGTCGATAGAGCGTGCGAGCTCCATGGCTTCGATAATGTGCTCTGCTGCTGCTGCTGCGCTCGTGGCTGCTTTGCTCCCCCTTGCTTGTTCTGCTCCCTGCGCTCTGCGGTCCCGGACGTACGGGTCTGGTGCTTCTGGTTCTTCTTGTGCCTGTTGTGCTGCTGCGAGGGTCTCGTCGGTGATGCTTCTCATGAGGTCTTCTGCTTGGTGCCTGGCTTTTTTGAGGGGGTTGTCGCTGGAGCTGGCGGCTTGCCCCCTCTTGCGTTCCTCTTCTGCCTGGAGCCAAGGTAGGAGGTCGGGGTCCTCCTCCTCAGTGCCGTTGCCGGTTGGTGCTGTGGCTTGGGGGCTGGCTGCTCTCAGGGACGCTGCGTGCCACGGTACAGTGGTGCCTGTGTCGTCCGCTTCTGCATCAGTGGCGTGGCTGTGGTTGTGGCAGGTGGTTGATGTGCCCCCCTGGTTGGGAGTAGCCTGCTCGTCTGGGGGGTCCCCCCTATTGTGCTGTTGTGATGGGCCTGTCTGCATAAGCTCCGTATGGTCTGCTTCTGGCGGGTCTTCGCTGGGCCAGCTTGTCTCAGAGTCGCTCGGAGGTGGTGGTGGGGGTCGTTTCGGTGTTGGTGCCAGTCTCTGCTGCCTGTAGGTTTGTACTGGTTGGAAGGCCTTGCGTGCCGCTGCCGAGTAGAAGGAAAAGGCCCCCCTGTCTTGTGTAGGGTTAGGGCCAGCTTGCTGGTGCGGGTGGTCCAGAGTGTTTTGTGGGGTAGTTGGTATGCCGCCGGTCTGTTCTGCTTCGCTCCTGTCTGGTTCCGGCTTGTCTGGCTGCATGCTTTCGCTGGCTTCTGGGCCCGCTGCCGTGTCTGGTGTGGTTGGTGTCATGTCTGTGACTGGCTTCTCGTCGCTTATTGTGACCTCCTGTCCTGGCCCCGGGCCTGCTGCGGCTGCTTGCTGCGGTTGTTCTGCTGCCTGCGTGTGGCTCTGAGGTTGTTGTGCGTTGGGGTGGCCGTCTGACTGCTGGCCCCTCGCACTGTTGCTCGCTGTCTGTGTGGGTTGTGGTCTGGGGTTGGTTGTCTCGAGGCGTCCCTCTGGTTGTGCTTGTTGAGGTCGGCCTGCTGCTTGCTGTGGTTGTTCTGCTGCGCTGCTGCGGTGGCTTTGTGGTTGTTGTGCGGCCCCCGTTGTGGGTGCTGGTCTCCCCCGCAGCATGTGTACTGCCCAAGGGTGCACTGCTTCTTCCCCCCACGCTTCGTCTGCTGGGTAGATGAGGGGGAGTTCCCCCTCTTGCTGGCTCCGCGCAAGGGCCGTTGCTCTGTATGCTCGTGGTTCGTGCGGGTCCCGTTCGGGGATCTGGACTATGTGTCTCGCTGCCCGGATCGTGGCGAGGGTAGTGTCATCCCGCTGAAGCTGTTCGATCTCGTGTTGCGTGCCAACCATCTGCTCACAGATGCAAAACACCATAAATCACAAGTTTCAGGAAATCGGCAGTCGATTTGCTCGACCCAAAAACTTGTGATGTCCTATAGCCCTCCGGGCCATGTTTCGTATCTGAGGCCATTGTGCAGCAAATCAAACTGATCATGTTGCACTCCATGGCTCTGTGGCTTGGTCGTTTTCCAGTAGCCTTGCTGTTCGTTGTGCTAGGGCTAGGACTGCCGAAACAGTCGCTCGGCAGAATGCTGGAACAGGAGCGGCGGGTTCCGTTGTTCCTCTGGTGTGTATGGAGCAGCACATGCCAGGGCGAACATCATATGCCAGAGCGTCCAGTCCGTGATAAAGCCGCGGACAAAGTGTCGTGAAAACAACGTGAACTAATTCCTCTAGACTCCAAGGTAAAACCCGAACGCTAAGGCATAACAGCTGAGCACTGTGGCCGCACCGCCAATAGGAAGCTGCACCAGCCGCCTCAGCCCCAGGCCAAGTCGGAAAGGTGCTCGGCAGTGTACCAAGCGCTATCATGGTTTAGGCAGGATATCTCGCGACAAGATGTAACCCAGCAAGACACAACATGGTGTGGACAACAGCTGCAGAACACAACAAGCCCGCATGAAGCATCGCAGCTTTTGGCCCCCGCGACAAGCGAGAGATCAGAACGAACTGCATGCTCGCTGCATGCAGTACAACGGCGGAAGAAGCACTGACTTCTCCCGGTGTGGTTGAACTGCAGAAATGCAAAGACTATCAGATTATCTATTTTCCGAAACCATGATCCTAGCCCACATCAGCAGGTGCCACTGACTCTCATCTACGTCTTGCATGAGCATCCGCAGAGTATAACCGTTCCGTGGCTTGTCAAAACAGGACCCCATGGCCAAACAGAATTCTTTACCCCACGGAACTCACATCCTGTCCTTGGCCCTGTACCCAGCTGCCTGGGCAAGAGCCTGGTCAATAGGAAACTTTCTCGATTCGAAGCTTAAAAAAAACTTAATCGTGCGCGAGCTCACTCACATGTACATCATGCCGGACTCACGGCCCTTGTTCTTGACGATCTGCTCGGTCATCATGGACTTCCAACCGTCCTTGTAGGTTTCGGCCACTTGCTCCTTGAGGTGGACAATTGCTTTGGCAGGGTCCAGGCCCTTGGGGCAGCAGTTTGTGCAGTTCATGATGCCGTGGCAGCGGTACAGCTTCATGGTGTCGTTGACCCAAGCCAAGCGCTCTTCCGTGAACTGGTCACGCGAGTCGGCGATCCAGCGGTACGCCTGCATCAGAACAGCTGGACCCAGGTAGTACTCGGGGTTCCACCAATATGACGGGCACGAGGTCATGCAGCACGCGCAGAGAATGCACTCGTACATGCCATCCAACTTCGCCCTGTCCTCACGGCTTTGGAAGTACTCAGCCTCTCCCTTCGCCTTCGTATCTTTGCGCTTCAGCCAGGGCTCGATCGACTTGTACTGGTTGTAGAAGTTTGTAAGGTCTGGAACCAAGTCCTTCACGACGTACGTGTGTGGCAAAGGCTGGATCTCAATAGCTTGTGGGCTCGGCTCGATGTACAGGAGACATGCCAAGCCGTTCTTGCCGTTGATGTTCATTGCACAGGAGCCACAGATGCCCTCCCGGCAAGACCTGCGAAAGGTCAGGGTTGTGTCAACCTCGTCCTTGACCTTGATCAGCGCATCCAAGATCATGGGGCCACAGGCCTTCAGGTCAATGGTGTAGTTCTGCAGAAAGGGCTTCGCCTGCTGGTCCGGGTCATACCGATAGATCGCGAAGGTCTGCGGCTGGGCCATGGCTGCGAAGCCTCGCATGCCCGCGCGACCGAAGCCGCGGGGCGCCAGAGACCGCAGCGACGCGGCTAGGGACATGGCTGGCTGCACTTTCAATAGACCTGATGCAGCTGGGGCTATGCTGGAAGGAGATGCAGCAGCCAAAGGCGACTGCCTTGCTGACAGCAACTGACAGCTCACATGAAAACTCCGCAATCTGTTGAAAGAAGATTTCAACCGCGGGTCCGATTTTGAACGTCGATCAGCTCGTGCACATCACGGCAATGGCACAAGACATGGCAAAACGGCACGTGGTGTGCCGGCAGATGCGAACACACAAGCCGCGAGCTTCCTCACACGGACGCAGCGCGGGAGAGCAGCTAACGTGCAGTCTACCTAGGTCGGGGGCGAACTGAATTCCTTGATGTCAGCAGAATCGATTTCACGACGGGTGAATGAAGACTGATGATGGCGTTTGCTTAAAAAAAGTCGAAGCCGTCACCACATTTTTGTGGTCACGCTCACATGTACATCATGCCGGACTCACGGCCCTTGTTCTTGACGATCTGCTCGGTCATCATAGACTTCCATCCGTCCTTGTAGGTTTCGGCCACTTGCTCCTTGAGGTGGACAATTGCTTTGGCAGGGTCCAGGCCCTTGGGGCAGCAGTTTGTGCAGTTCATGATGCCGTGGCAGCGGTACAGCTTCATGGTGTCGTTGACCCAAGCCAGGCGCTCTTCCGTGAACTGGTCACGCGAGTCGGCGATCCAGCGGTACGCCTGCATCAGAACAGCTGGACCCAGGTAGTACTCGGGGTTCCACCAATATGACGGGCACGAGGTCATGCAGCACGCGCAGAGAATGCACTCGTACATGCCATCCAACTTCGCCCTGTCCTCACGGCTTTGGAAGTACTCAGCCTCTCCCTTCGCCTTCGTATCTTTGCGCTTCAGCCAGGGCTCGATCGACTTGTACTGGTTGTAGAAGTTTGTAAGGTCTGGAACCAAGTCCTTCACGACGTACGTGTGTGGCAAAGGCTGGATCTCAATAGCTTGTGGGCTCGGCTCGATGTACAGGAGACATGCCAAGCCGTTCTTGCCGTTGATGTTCATTGCACAGGAGCCACAGATGCCCTCCCGGCAAGACCTGCGAAAGGTCAGGGTTGTGTCAACCTCGTCCTTGACCTTGATCAGCGCATCCAAGATCATGGGGCCACAGGCCTTCAGGTCAATGGTGTAGTTCTGCAGAAAGGGCTTCGCCTGCTGGTCCGGGTCATACCGATAGATCGCGAAGGTCTGCGGCTGGGCCATGGCTGCGAAGCCTCGCATGCCCACGCGGCCGAAGCCGCGGGGCGCCAGGGACCGCAGCGACGCGGCTAGGGACATGGCTGCTTGGCCCTGTGCGGATCAGCCTACAAACCTACAGGAACTGCCACAGCCTGCGACAGCCTCCTGCGGACAACAGCACAACGCGTTGCCGGTCTGTCCAACACCTTGTGGGAGTGAATTGCGACAGCCTCGGGCTCTAGCTGGGAAGCCTTCGCAAAGCATCCGCACCGCTGGACAAGAGCACACGGACCTTGGTGCAAATTCACTAGACCCCAAGGTTTGCCGGCCGGTAGCGAGGCACTCCCGAAAAGCGTTGTCTCCAGAGTCCCGGACGACGCCCTCTCGCCCAACCCGAGCTGCCACCATCAATGGTGTGACACCCCCCTCCATGGCCTCAGGTCCATGCGCGAGCCTTGGGCAGAGTATGCGACTAACTATCAAAGTTTCCAGGTCCACTGCGGCATCCACAGTGGCTCCGTGGTTCAGCAATACCTCTTGCGAACTCGCGGAAAGAAGCGCGACCGGAAATGCGGCTGGAGGCCAATTCACAAAGCACATTACAAGCACCTCTGCCACAGCCGCCGCTGCTGCCGGATCTGTCGAATTTCCAGCCAGTCCTTGCTGATTGAAAATCGAAAATTGAAGCACATCTTCCAAAGCACCTTGAACATGCAATGAAGCGCAACATCGGTGCTGCTTCACCTTATTAAAAACGGGCATCGGGGGATGGGATTGGCAGATCCGCCCGTCATCCAGGTCCGTGCGCACTGCACTCTACTTGTGACTTCGATATGCCCGTCTCATCCCGTCTTAGTACTAGCGGCTAGTGCAGTCAGCTTCAAGATCAACGCATGTGGGCGTGGGCCTTCCGACTGGCTGGCACCACCGGCCAGGTGTAGCGCGGTGATCCCATGCTCTGCAACTGCCTGAGGCCATCAGCGATCGGGGGCCCAGGTGCTCTCTGGACTTGACTGGATCACAAGCCATGAAATTCAGTCCACAGCCTGTCCACAAGCTTCAGATTTAGCTGCTGTACCACTTGGAAGGATCCCGCAAGCACACGACTGTCGGAGCCGGGGCCAAGACATCAACAGGGACCACTTTGCGCTGCAGGAGCAACAGGACGATCCCAACAGATCCGGCCTGAGAATGCGGAGTCCAGGGTGCCGTTCTGGCGAAGCAGACATCGGTCATGTTGCCCACGCCTCCGCGGCGACATGCAGCGGCGACAGCGGAACCTTCAAGCAAAGAGAAGGCGCCCGTCATCAACGCCAGGAGCAGAGAAGCAAGGCACGCCTGCGCGTCTCCCAGAACTGCAAGAGGCCTCACAACGAGATGCTTGAGACTTAACTCTGCAAACACAGCTGTCAGTCTCGCGACAGTCTCAAGATTCCGACAACCTTCGGGCATGTCATGAGCACAACATCTTGCAACTTGATAAACTTGCTAGTTGATCCCAGTCCTACTCCAACTGAGACTCCAGGCGACTGGACTCTGAGGGTCGGGCGGCTCTGCCGCAAGCAACGTCCGCACGTTGGACTCGTCCCGGCTTTGCACGGCGAGATGCAGCGGTGCCCACCCCTAGCGCAGAGAGCATCCCTGTCTGTGCGAGTTCGGTGGCCGGATCCACGGGTCAAGAAAAAAAACGTGACCTCGCCTTACCTCACATCCGTTGAGTCCCTGCCTCCTGCTTCTGTTTGCTTGCTGCGACTTGGACACGAAAACATCAGGCAACTAGAACGTGGGCTTCTTGGACTGATCGGGGTCAGAAGACAGGCCTCCTCTGTCAACGCATTGGCATCTGCGCGGGCACGCAGAAGTTGCTGAATGGTCTGGGAACAGGAGTCGAAGACGGTACATCTTGCTTCTATTTGGGTTTCACAACGTTGTCTGCTGGAAAGTTACTGGGATACGAAGTGAGTGCTGTTTCTGCCTAAGCGGCCTGCAAGTTGATCATAGTAGATGCCATAGCGGATAGCTGCGGGTACATGCAGAGTTGTTGCAAGCCCAGCAGGGATGGACACATTGACATCTGACCGTGCGGAATTTGGGAGTCAAACATAACATACCTTCTGATGTGGTCAAGGCCTCTTCCGCGAATTACAGAGAGCACGGGTGCCGGAGGAACGAATCATCATGCTAGACTGGAAAAGCCTCAGAGGGCCTCCGGGAACCTGAGATCTTGTTCTTACCAGGTCACGACGACGGAATGAAACATGTCGAGACGAAGAGGATTGAGCATTGGATGCTGGAGCTTAGGGCTTTGGGCGTTTGGGGCGGCGGGTGCACTGTTTGGGGCTTTCATTTCAAGGTTTCAAGTTTTGAGCCGAGGCAGCCACCGTCTGATTGCCAGGAACATGGCAGGCCAGGTGCAAAACAGTCCAGCCGCCGGGCCTCAGGAAGCTGCAGGAATGCCACAATTTCCTATGCCCGAGCACGAGAATCCTGACTTGCAGGGGCGACTGGAACCTAGTAGAACACTGTTCACTGAACCCTGCACCCGTTACCCAGTAGGCTTGAGATGGTACAGAAGCGGACATATTCTAGAACAGTTCCTCGTCCTTTCTGTGACACTTTCGACCCAGTAGCTAGGACTCGAGCTCCGCGTCTCGTGTAGCAGGAGGAACCGTTCTGGGACATCTGAGGACCATAAACCCTGGTTGATGTGTAGTGCAAAGACACTGTCTGTAACACAGCTGCCCACTCTGCCCACTCACGACCACGATCCGAGCATCGGATCATGCCATGATGGTAGCTCCACATGAGCCCCCCTAAGGCCCGCACAGCGTCGGCGACAGGGCTGCCCCGAACTGAAGCAGGACCTCGGCCACTTCGACCTGGCAGGCCTCCACTGCCACCTGGGCAGGGAAAGCTGACAGAAGGACGACTCAACTCTGCCCAAGCCCTGGTCGCCCGACATCGGACAAGCAGAGAGCCAACTCGACACCCGCTGACAGCTGGCGCCCTCCGAGCAGTCGGACCATCAGCGGAGTGCGGCCGCGACGGCTCGGGAGATTCACGGAGGCTCCAGAGTCCAAGAGTTGCCTTCCCACAGAGGGCACAGAGAGCACGAGGACTAAGGAGGCTTCTTCCGGCCTTCTCTCAAGAGTTCAGCTGTTCTGCTGTGTTCTGCTGTTCTGTTCCTATGATTTTGTCCGGTTGGCGCATGCCATTCGTTGTTCTGGGCATGGCAACGGCTACTCCGACTCCAAAGCAGCTGCATGACGACGTCTCAAAAGTAAGGTTGCCTCATATAGCAAGCTACTAGTAGCAGTCTCAGTGAGAACTGCAAGGAGTCACTGGTGGTTTGGCCGCGAGCAAGAGAAGAGGGTGCCTCACGGCCGCCACATGCCCGGCCTGGCTTCAATTCATTCGCTTAGGACCAAGAGGGCTTGAGGTTCGCGACTTTGCGAGTTGAGTGGGCTACTTTGAGCATCTTTGAGCTGGAAGTTGGCTGTAGGCTCCATCTGGTCTGACCTTCGCCGCCAGCAGCAGTGGTGTCCAGCCCGTGCCGGTTGTGGCATCCACAGCCTTCAGTTCACCTGGCAGACAGTCTGTCGCACCGCTTCTGCCGTTACTACTAGTTCAAGGAAGGCAAGCCTTAACGTGGTCCCTGAGCTCATCAAAAACAAGAGTGAAAGACGCCGTTGCGCCTTGTGCTCTGGAAAGGTCCAGAAGCAATCGACAGCCTAAGCTGTGCAAAGCTTTGCCACGTCTGTCAGCGGCGTGGAACGCCGCTCCCCGCACTTTTCAAACTCCAGGCCCGCTGCACTCAGCATGCCCAGAGCGCGCTGCCAGCGCCAAAGGAGTAAAACCTCCACCTCGGTTCTGGGGAGATGCGTAAGATGCGGGAGGTCCGAGGAGTGGAAGATCCCTGGGTATGCGAAGTTGCACTCCGTGTCCCATTACTCGAAGATTGCTTGCACTCGCATCGAGGGAGCCGGTCCAGGCCAAGGCCGCTGCGCATCTCTGCGCTCGGGTTGGCACGGGCAGACACCAGAAGCTGGATGCAGTCGTAAAAGCCCTGCAAAGGAAACGCTCGAAGCCACGACGTCACGACGACGTTCAAGAACTTGAGGTGCATCGCAGCGCCATGCAGCGCCTGCTGGGCTGCCAGATGCAGGCAACGGCAGCCGCCGCCATCACTGCCGTCACTGGCCACTGCTTGCTCCTGACGAGGCGAAGCAGCTGGCGGCTGATGCCCACGGTCGCCTCTACACGCTGGACGCTGCTCCGGGTCGGCTCGGGCATCGAGCAGCAGCCGGGCGACTTCAAGGTGTTGGAGTTGAACCTCGGGCAGACGCAAAGGCCTTCTGAGAAGGCTCCGGAACTTATGTGCTTTGCAAGCCACTGCAGCATGGAGGGCCACGGCCCCAGCACTCGTAGAAGCGCCTGTAGCGGCTCTACGGTTTTGGCGGTAGCTTGGCAGCTGTCTCGAAGCACTCAGAAATCGATTCGCATTCCTGATGTCACCGTGGAAGCCTGTGAAACAAAGTGCATGGCGAGAAAACACACTTGGTCTGTGCCTAAAGATGCCCCGCGGTCCAGCAGAAGCTGCACCACCTCCGCATCCGATCAAACTCCGACCAATCCAGGTGCCAGCTATGCAAATCCATGCCGTCTTGGCGCAAGATGACGCTGGACCCGAGAGTACACATAACAGCATCACAGCAATGCCGGGCATTGGTTGCAGATAACAGCAGTTTCCGCCAAGTAATCTTACAGCACATAGCACATGCTGCTTTCCAGAATCACGTTCAGGCCGCCTCTGATCGACCCTGCTGCGCAGCAAGGTGCAAAGCCGTAGCCTCAGCCACGATGCGGAGAGTGTGTCTCCCATTCACAGCATTGCAGGCTTGGCGGTCTGGTCATGCGGCTGTTGAAGTTGAGATGGGCTTGCGTCCTCGACGGGAAACAGATGGCGGGTCAAGGCGGCCACGATGCTCAACGCTACAGAACCGAATCCAAAAGCAAGCCAAGGATGCAGGTCAAGAAAAATGCTCAGCTACGCTTGGTCGGGATGCTAGCCAAAAGGGGCAGTTGGAAGATCGTATAATGCGAAGAGCATGCTGTGCAGCTAAAGCTACATGTCATGGTTTCCTCACGAAACACTCAGTTGTCCGGGACTCCGAGCGCCCTGGTCGTTGCGTGCCTCTAACTCGGCACCACGTGACAGCCTGGTCCGAAGCACAAGCAGGGTGGCCAGAACCAGTGCCAGAATGTGTGCGCTTAGTTGTGCAGCGTGTCAACATCGCAGCCCTGCATAGCCCTCCCGACGGTAGTGATTTAGGCTAAGCCCAGCACAGGAGTCGGGCTGTCTGCGCATGGCCACGCCGAGCAGCTTCGTGCAGCGGGGACTTGGTGGAATGAGGCATGGCACAAAACCATGTTTGCTTTCACCTTTGTGGATGAGCTAGACTGCTAGACTTGCCGCAGCACGTCAACTTCAGCTGGGCTCCGTGCTGAGGACGGCATGCTCGGGGAAGCTCTTGCATCCAGCAGCAGTGCAACCACGTCGTCCCTGCCGTGCCTTACTGATGCTACGGAGGACAACCCGTGCTTCACAAGGTTCCAGTGGGCCAGCAAGCAGACCGGCGAAAGGTCAAATTGTGAAGCTATTCCCAGCCGAAACTTCCCCCGCTCTCTTCCCCGGACCAGGCCGAGGGAAGCTGCTCGTCAGGCCCGCCCAGCTTCGGGCTTTGGGCCTGAACAAATGTGCGCTGCTTTGAACGCAAGAAACTCCACCCCATCGTAAGCGGCCCCGGGAAGCCATGACCATCCCACGGCTGTCCACGCAGGCCCATGCAAAGAGAGGACCACTTGTCAGGGCACATCAACTTTCAAGACTAAGCGATGCAAAACCTGTCCATTCCGGTACCGCTTTTCCGGTGACCTGTGGACGAGGCTGTTGGGACTAGAGGGGAACTTCCTTCCCTTCATAAACAGTACGTCCCCCACTCTCACAGACCGGCATCTCGATGTATCCTTGATGATGCACTCGTTAGTGCCACCGTTCTCCAGCTGCCAGAAATTGACATTGTCATCATGCGTGTAAAGCGTGGCAGCTGAGTTGTACGAGACGATGGCCCTTGCAGCATAGTTGTCACAATGCCATCTGGGGCAACTGTTCTCTCCGATGCGCTCAAGCTTAAAATCCAGCCTTCGACTCCAAGGGCAGAGGCGGCCAACTACCCCGCCGACCTTGCGGATGTCAGCTCGGACAGCCGAGCAAAGGTCCCTTGGGAGTGACACTTGGCTCAGTAGCTCCTCGGCCACCGAGGCGCTGAAGTCGCTTTCAAAGCCCTCGTCCCGGCCGCGGAAGCTGGAGACAGTGAGTCTCTGCCACTCGACATCCCGATCTACATCGGCTTGGCAGTCGGACCAAAAAGGCCGCCTTTCGAGGAGAAGGCCCTGATACTTAAGGCTTACTGGAGTCAGCCAGTCTGCCAAAGAGGCAGAAGATAAGATTGCAGGTTGTGTCGGGGCCGGTGCCGCGATGCGCGCAGACACAGCAAAGTTGATGCTTTGCACCGTCACCAGCACAGCCACACCGAGCACAACGAGAGTCCTGTGAGCCACCACATGGCGCCGATGGGACAAAGCCGACTGCATGCCGACAGCTCGCCACCGAGGATGCACCAACTCTGCTGCTGGAGTTGCCGATACTGTGGTAATGAAGATGAGCATTGTTTAACAAGGGTTGCAAGGGTGCGGGGTGGTTGGTCTTTTTATTCTGAAGATGGGTGTGGCTTTGTGCAGTCGTGCAGGCACAGGATAGCATAGGGCCACCTTTGATGCGAACACGCACAGCTTGAACCGGTCTAAGTTTCTGCTGGATGCGACTGCTACCGGCTCCATGTTCCATCTGGGTTGAACCCAGCAATCGCCCCCCCCCCCGTAACGTGGCACAGCTTGCCAGAGCACATGTTAAGATGGGGGAGATAATCTAACGCTGATGCGCTGCAAGCTTGAACAAGTGGGTAAGTCTGAACCAGGGCACGGAGGATCCCGGATGAAGAAATTCAAAGCAAACGTTGACATCAATGTGACTCGATAATGCAAGTGGGTTCCCTGCTGCGCAGCCGCCAGAAGTGGTGGCCAGGCGGGCGAGCCCTGCACCCTGTGGGCACCAGCCGGGTCTGCACGGGCTGCAAGGAGCTCCTGTCCGCTCTCAACAGAGCACAGCACCGGCTGGCGGTCGAGTCTGCTATCCCGCTCCTGCACACAATCTAAATGCCCCGCACGTGCTGCCAACGCAAGCGGGCTGCTCGTGCTCTTCGTCGTCAAAGCCTCTGCACAAAGCTTTGCGGCTCCCATCCGAATCTCCACCTGAAACCTCATTGCACTCCCACCTCTGCGTTTGCCCGACTTTGCAGCAGCAGCCTGACCTCAGCATTATCGCACTATGTTCATATGAGGAAGGGTCTCGCGGCACATCACCCCAAACTGTGCAGACTCTGGCGACCATGCTCCGCTGCATCTCCCGGCAGCGTCACCAAAGCATGTCAACAGATCTCAGGACTCCACCATCTCAGGTCTGCCTGTCTCCGCAGCCTGGCTTCTGAGATTCTGCAAAGCACCCGCACATCCGGTCTAAGCCTGCAGACCTTTATTCCTCATCCCAATTCAGGTTGACATGAACGGTGCAATGAGAACCATACAGAGGGGAGGTGGGTTGTAGACGCACTTGCGTGTTCTTCCAGAAAGCTGGCCGGGCTCCCGGCGGCATGCAGGGGAGCGCGCCCACTGGCTGCCACCCTGTGAGGGACATGACTGGAGCCACTCACGAACATTTCTCCGGTAGCATGTGCCATCGCCCTCATGTTAGGTTTCCATACGTCTTGGTCGCCACCCAATGGACCGACACCGCTGCAAGAAAATGATTAGTTACACGGACAGGGCACATACTTAAAATGTCACCTGCATGGGCACCGCATTCCCTAAGCTGCTCGTGTCAGGCGGGCCCTGTGACAACATGCGGCGTGCTCGTCCGATGCGTCCTTTTGCTGCAGGCTTACACGCAAGGACGCCTGGTTAGCCGCTCTTCCGCCAGTTAGGACTGTGCTCGTGACAGAGCCCCCAGCTTCTGAGCAAGCGACTGAGAAACCTGATTGAAAAGGCGCACTAGTCCGAACTTGTCTAAGCATGTTGGTGAATGGCACACAAATGCACACAATTGAGGATAATGCGTCCCTGCACCCAAAACCCCGAAACAAAGAAAACCTTAACCCCTAAACCCGAAACCCGAATCCCTGCTTAAGCTGAAGGTGCAGCTGTATCCAACAGCTGCTATCAATTATCACTGCGCCAACCCGAATCCCCGAAACGCCAGGCTCGCTGTGCCGCATCCTTCGCAGCTTCACCCCTCATTTGAGCCGCCCACGCCAACCGATACAATATTGAATAGGTTTGTACATCTTTGTAAAGGGAAAAAAGAACCCTTGAGCCGTGGCCGCTTGCTCCATGTCCCTGAAAACCATGGATCCTCCTCTACATCCGCTGTATGCTTCCAGCAATTTGCACTCGGGACTTCTAGTCTGTCGACAGCCAAGAAAAACTCCCTACCACAAGCGTAGCACTTAGAACACGGGAAGCCTCGACAGAAAGGTTAGGGCATTAGGCGCAGGCCTGTTGGTGTCTGCGCGGGCCGCAAGAAGGGCTGTCAGCACATCGCGGTGGCCAGGGCGGCAGGCCTTGGCCCAGGCCCCAGGCCGGCGTTGCGGAAACGTTTTGTGAAACTCTGATTGGACGATGCGACTGAGCCTCCCACGAGCAACAAGGCAGTAGCACCATCGTCCTCCAAGCTGGAACTCTACAGCACTGCAAGGGAACACCTCCAGTGCTGATCTGAGCACAGGCTCGGCCAGCCTGGGCCGCGTTCACCGAAGCGCGAGACTCCAGAAGGAGCCCAACAGCTGCCTGGACGGGTCCACAGGTGGAGAGAGAAAAGTGCAGGAACCCATGCGCTTCCCGCCTCGCGGCCGGTGGCGGATGCAGCTCGGAGCCCCGCTTCCAGGGAGGCCTGGACCGGAAAGGGTGGAGTTCTTGCTTCGTGCATTGCTTTCCTTTTGCTCCCTATTGTGTTTGTTGGTTTTTCGGGTGTGTTTGGGGAGGACGTGATGAGTCCTGTTCTTAACGACATGATGCTCCTGCAAACCAACTTGCACGGTTGGGGGTTGGGGGAGCGCAGCATTTCCAAAAAGCCTGGACCATGCCTGAACGTTGCGCTTTGAAAGGTTCCATAGGCGTTCTGTGGTTGACGCAATTCAACGAAAAACGCGGTGTTCTGGAAAGTAAGCTTGCTGCGAAAATTTCACCCACCACAACAGCAGAGTCACTCCGGGGGGGATGGCTACAACACTCAAGACCAAGGCGACATCAAAACAATACGCACTGCCGGGGCACATGCCGCATCACGCCACGCTCTCTATATTTAGTCCTCTTTCCTTTCGGCCGAAGGGGGATTGGGGAGGCCAGAGGACCAGGGCAACCACGGAATCAGAGGATCAGACAGAGAAGGGAGCAGGGGGGCCAACCGGCAAGAAGAACTGAGCGGACCAGTTGAGACCACAAGACCGGACAAGGAGACCAGAAGACCAGAGGACCAGGAAACCGAGACCAAGGGGCCATGGGACCATGGGACCACGGGACCAGAGGACCACAGGATCAGCGGACAAGGAGACCGCGGGACGAGGGGATCAGGGTATAGGAAATATCGGAGCAAAACAAAAAATAAACAAAAGTTAATGAAAACTGGAAAGTGAGAGAGATCGCAGGCCCATCCCCTTCAGTTGTCTTAAGATACGCCGCGCATGCCTGCTCCGGTGGGGCAAGTGCACCCGTCGGGAGCAACAGCGGCAGCAGCAGCAGGGACAAAGTGTTCAGCTCCGCGAGCGGCCTCCGGAATCCAAACTATTTTTTCCGCGAACAGCCCCTGGCCCTCAGCAGCTCTGAGCGCTTCGCATGCCACGGAGGGCCGCCGCCGCTGCTGCACGATGGCCGTGCAGAATAGCCAGGTCCTTTGGAACAAGGCTGTCAAAACCCAGGGTCTGCGAACTCCACCGGCGGCAAAAATCTGCAGACCAGCTTGCACAGTGGGAGGGAGAGTCGAACTGCCGATGCGCTTCGAATTTAGCTCCAAGCCTCAAGCTCCAAACTACCTTGTCACATCGATGTGGTGACATTGTATTCGGGCAGAAAGCACAAGCCGAAACTGAACCAATAAACCTCGACACCATTCTGGAAAAGAAAGAGCTGGGTCCGCCGCCGCTGGCAACAAGCCCTGACCGTCACGAGACATCTGTCCTGGGGAGGAAGACAGACATAACTAGCACTGCATCCAGCTTTGCGATTTTGTACAACGGAATGAACGACTGACAGCTTGAAAATAACATCAGGATCAGCATGCTCGTGTCCCACATCGGCACGAGACAGCTGGATTTCATGCTGCGGGCTGGAGAGAGTTGCAGCTTCTCAGGATATGGGACTTCTGTTGTGGCTCGATCACTCCCGGTGCAACGCGCAATAGCCTTAGCCCCAGCATTGTTCTACACCTATGTCCTGCCCCGCTTGTGAGGGCGAGGATGGCTGCGGTAGCAGCAGCATCTCCACTCCGGCAGGCCTGAAACGCAAGCCAGCTGTGAAGCTTCGATGCTGTGTATCTGAATCGATCTATTGCGTAGTGCCGCTCTTTCTGTCTCTACTGTATACATACATGTGTATATATATATACACATATACACACGTGTATATAGCTGCATCTGTCTATGTACACATGTATGTATAATAAAAATACAAATACTATAATAATAATAGTAATAATAATAATAAATGCATATATATATATACATGTGCTGCATATATGTATAGTATGTACCCGTACCCATACCTGTGCGCGTGTGTGTGCGTGTGTGTGTGTGTGTACGTATGTATATACGTATCCATCTCGACATGTTGATCCCGTTTGGGGGTTCTGGTGTCGTCACGGACTTAAAGATACAAGCTTGGTGGATGACCGGGCTTCCGACCAGTCTCCAAAGCTCATGAAAACCGATGCAAGCTTTCATAGCAGACGAAAAACTTATGCTCTGGCCCTTCACAACTGACAAATGGCTCAATACATTCTTCTCGACGCTGGCGTGGCCCATTCCAGCCTACAGCTTCTGTGGCGACGAAAAGGGCCAGCTACAGGTAAACCATGATGGCCCACATCCCACGATGTGGTGCGGACCCGTTGAGGAGAGAACCCCAAAATACCAAATTGAAATAATTACTTGGCGGAAAGTGCCGAAGGCTTGCATTGGCTGCCCACTAACCCATCACCTATACCGGCCTTGTGCAACATAGTGCTCTCGTCCGTGTCTTCACTGGCTGCTGAATGCTCGAAGCGTGCCACAGTCTCCTGGAGCTTCTGCCTCGCGATTTCACGGCCAGGCAAAAGGCAAACTCCACGTCCGGTTGGGCCTAAGGTCCCTAAGTCCGAGCCCGAGCCCTTCATAGCCCTTCCTTGAAGCCTCCGCCCTGCGGTTCGACGCCTGTGGTCAATAAGGTCCATCTCCAGCCTAAGTTTGGCTTAGGGTTTGTTGCAACTGTGAGATCTGTGAGTATTGCCTCGTGGACCTTAGAACCCGATGAATGAGCTTCAGCTCCAACATCAGCCGCTGTCCATTGACATGGCTGATGTTAACCCACAAAGACGCCACGACGCTCACATCGCTTCAGCCAAGGATCGCAGCCGTCTCTCTGACCGTAACTTGGTCGGCCACATACGACCTCCGTGCACGGAACGGACAAAGTTCTTATGGAACTCCGTACAGTACAGAATCCAACTGGACTGCTGAATCTTGCCCCTGCTTGCCTCTGCTTGCAAGCTGCAATAATGCTTCTAGACGTTAGTGGCAATGGATGAGGCGGTGATGGTGGGGGCGGTGGGTGGTGTCTGTGATCAAAGTGCAACCGAACAAGCAGCAACAAGCCGGAGGACGACTGCTAAAATCGCGGGTCTCAAGCATGCCAGGCTAGGTCCGAATGCCAGTGCTGACAGATCGGCTAGTTTTGGGGCGGTGGCGTTCTGGCGACAGCCCAAGCCAACAAGTGAGCGTGAAAACCGACCGTCTCACTCTCTCATGCCTGACGGCCCTCCAGTGTGCTCCTGCCGAATCACCCGGCGGGTCACCCGGTCCTGCCTGCGCAGGGCCCAGGATCAACCGGTTCTCCGGTCAAACAAAGATGCCCGGCCTGATCGCAGCGTCCGTGGCTTGCCGTCTGCAACGCCGCCTGCTCGTATCATCTCAAGGAACGGCGAACAACGACCGGCAGCGACTTTGATTGTTCCGATGTCTGCTCGATTCGATTCGGGTCGGGGGCAAGATTCACTGATTTTGAACCGAGCATTGTTCCATAAAGATTACCAGACCATGAAAGAGCTCACCGCCAGTCCGAACTTGGCAAGACGTAAGACTCTCTCGCCTCACAAACGTCTTTCTGCCGCTGCTCCTCGGCAGCCATCCGAGTGCTCTCTTCCGCTTCTCGTCTTTCCTCTTCTCTTTTCAAGTCCTGCGCAATCACCACAACAGGCAAACCACAAATGCAAATGTTTACCTACTACCATTTGTCAAACCAAGAGCCTTCAGCAACCTTGGAAGTATCGAGTTTCAATTTGATGCTGAACACGCAAGGCCGCAAATGGCCCGCTGTTGCATTAGAAGTATTCTTTTGGTTTCAAACCAAAACAGATCCAGAGACCCTAGGACAAGGCTGCAATCAACAAGTGGCGGCACCCCTCCTCCATCCCTCGCCGTGCTTCTTCTACCTGGACGCGTTCGCGTTGCAGCTGCTCTTCCGCCACCATCCGTGCAATCTCTTCAGCTTCTCTCTGCTGCTCCTCCTAACAAGCCATCCAGGTCAAGGACACAGAAAAAAACGAAGAAGCTCACTGGCCTCTTCTCTGCGCTGCTCCTCCGCCTTGCGCTGTCTCTCCTCCTCCTCTTCCTGCGCCTGAGAAAGCTCTTTCTGCCGCTGCTCCTCGGCAGCCATCCGGGTGCTCTCTTCCGCTTCTCGGCGTTCCTCTTCTCTTTTCAGCTCCTCCTACGAAAGAGGACAATGCATCACCAGAATCTCACAGAATACGAAGATGTACGGGGAGTGGAATCAACATCTAACAAGGGTTGAGTAGAACCTACCACCTTGTACGCTGAACACGCAGGGTCTGCCCCCTCGTTACCCATCCTCCAGGCGTCGCGCTTCTTCTGCCTGCACACGTTCGCGTTGCAGCCGTTCTTCCGCGGCCATCCGTGCGAGCTCTTCAGCTTCTCTTTGCTCCTGCTCTTGTCGCAGTCGCTCCTGCCAAGCCATCCAGGTCAAGGACACAGAAAAAAACGAAGAAGCTCACTGGCCTCTTCTCTGCGCTGCTCCTCTGCCTTGCACTGTCTCTCCTCCTCCTCTCTCTGTGCCTGAGAAAGCTCTTGTTGCCGCTGCTCCTCGGCAGCCATCCGGGTGCTCTCTTCCGCTTCTCGGCGTTCCTCCTCTCTTTTCAGCTCCTCCTGACTCAATCCAGAGATGAAAAGCAAGGGAATCAGGGTGCCGAACCAACAGCATCAACCAATCTCTGAACCTGCCGCATTCATGCTGAACAATCGCATGGCAAGCCTGTGTTCTGGATGGGCACCACCCGAGCCCCTAAAGCAGGCGGAGATGTCTCAATATGTCTCACAGAATATTCTCGTACTCATGGTTCGTTCTCTGGGGGCCAAATTCAGGCAAGATAAGAAGCACAACAATAGCTGCCAGCATTGGAGCAGATTGTGGACCTGTGTCGGCCAAGCCTCCGGAACTATTTTACAAACACGTTCATGCTCACAGCATGCTGGGAATTCTACCCACCCCAGCACGCAGTACATGAGGAAGCTCTGCATCTGATTGCAAGTCGTTACCGCCACATCACTTACAAAGATGAAAGACCTCTGCTGATGTGCTAGATGAGTAGCAGACGTGACACCAGGGACGGTACCAAATGACGCCTGTTCGCTGCTGCAGCTTGCCAAGTCTTGACGAGGGAAAACATGGCTCCCTGCTTCCTTTTCGGCTTCTTTCCGTACGTCCATTCTATGTTTTATCTATCATTAAACATCTCGCGAAACCTGCAATCAAAACCTTGCCATTCACATGAAGAACAAGAAAGCTGTGGTTCAGACGTATCAGCACTCCTCCATCCGTCGCCGCGCTTCTTCTGCCTGCACACGTTCGCGTTGCAGCCGTTCTTCAGCGGCCATCCGTGCGAGCTCTTCAGCTTCTCTTTGCTCCTGCTCTTGTCGCAGTCGCTCCTGCCAAGCCATCCAGGTCAAGGACACAAAAAAACACGAAGAAGCTCACTGGCCTCTTCTCTGCGCTGCTCCTCCGCCTTGCGCTGTCTCTCCTCCTCCTCTTCCTGCGCCTGAGAAAGCTCTTTCTGCCGCTGCTCCTCGGCAGCCATCCGGGTGCTCTCTTCCGCTTCTCGGAGTTCCTCTTCTCTTTTCAGCTCCTCCTACGAAAGAGGACAATGCATCACCAGAATCTCACAGAATACGAAGATGTACGGGGAGTGGAATCAACATCTAACAAGGGTTGAGTAGAACCTACCACCTCTTACGCTGAACACGCAGGGTCTGCCCCCCTCGTTACCCCTCCTCCAGGCGTCGCGCTTCTTCTGCCTGCACACATTCGCGTTGCAGCCGTTCTTCCGCGGCCATCCGTGCGAGCTCTTCAGCTTCTCTTTGCTCCTGCTCTTGTCGCAGTCGGTCCTGCCAAGCCATCCAGGTCAAGGACACAAAAAAAGACGAAGAAGCTCACTGGCCTCTTCTCTGCGCTGCTCCTCTGCCTTGCGCTGTCTCTCCTCCTCCTCTCTCTGTGCCTGAGAAAGCTCTCGTTGCCGCTGCTCCTCGGCAGCCATCCGGGTGCTCTCTTCCGCTTCTCGGCGTTCCTCCTCTCTTTTCAGCTCCTCCTGACTCAATCCAGAGATGAAAAGCAAGGGAATCAGGGTGCCGAACCAACAGCATCAACCAATCTCTGAACCTGCCGCATTCATGCTGAACAATCGCATGGCAAGCCTGTGTTCTGGATGGGCACCAACCCGAGCCCCTAAAGCAGGCGGAGATGTCTCAATATGTCTCACAGAATATTCTCGTACTCATGGTTCGTTCTCTGGGGGCCAAATTCAGGCAAGATAAGAAGCACAACAATAGCTGCCAGCATTGGAGCAGATTGTGGACGTGTGTCAGCCAAGCCTCCGGAACTATTTTACAAACACGTTCATGCTCAAGGAATGCTGGGAATTCTACCCACCCCAGCACGCAGTACATGAGGAAGCTCTGCATCTGATTGCAAGTCGTTACCGCCACATCACATACAAAGATGAAAGACCTCTGCTGATGTGCTAGATGAGTAGCAGACGTGACACCAGGGACGGTACCAAATGACGCCTGTTCGCTGCTGCAGCTTGCCAAGTCTTGACGAGGGAAAACGTGGCTCCCTGCTTCCTTTTCGGCTTCTTTCCGTACGTCCATTCTATGTTTTATCTATCATTAAACATCTCGCGAAACCTGCAATCAAAACCTTGCCATTCACATGAAGAACAAAGAAAGCTGTGATTCAGACGTATCAGCACTCCTCCATCCGTCGCCGCGCTTCTTCTGCCTGCACACGTTCGCGTTGCAGCCGTTCTTCCGCGGCCATCCGTGCGAGCTCTTCAACTTCTCTTTGCTCCTGCTCTTGTCGCAGTCGCTCCTGCCAAGCCATCCAGCTCAAGGACACAGAAAAACACGAAGAAGCTCACTGGCCTCTTCTCTGCGCTGCTCCTCTGCCTTGCGCTGTCTCTCCTCCTCCTCTCCCTGTGCCTGAGAAAGCTCTTGTTGCCGCTGCTCCTCGGCAGCCATCCGGGTGCTCTCTTCCGCTTCTCGGCATTCCTCCTCTCTTTTCAGCTCCTCCTGACTCAACCCAGAGATGAAAAGCAAGGGAATCAGAGTGCCGAACCAACAGCATCAACCAATCTCGGAACCTGCCGCATTCATGCTGAACAATCGCATGGCAAGCCTGTGTTCTGGATGGGCACCACCCGAGCCCCTAAAGCAGGCGGAGATGTCTCAATATGTCTCACAGAATATTCTCGTACTCATGGTTCGTTCTCTGGGGGCCAAATTCAGGCAAGATAAGAAGCACAACAATAGCTGCCAGCATTGGAGCAGATTGTGGACGTGTGTCAGCCAAGCCTCCGGAACTATTTTACAAACACGTTCATGCTCAAGGAATGCTGGGAATTCTACCCACCCCAGCACGCAGTACATGAGGAAGCTCTGCATCTGATTGCAAGTCGTTACCGCCACATCACATACAAAGATGAAAGACCTCTGCTGATGTGCTAGATGAGTAGCAGACGTGACACCAGGGACGGTACCAAATGACGCCTGTTCGCTGCTGCAGCTTGCCAAGTCTTGACGAGGGAAAACATGGCTCCCTGCTTCCTTTTCGGCTTCTTTCCGTACGTCCATTCTATGTTTTATCTATCATTAAACATCTCGCGAAACCTGCAATCAAAACCTTGCCATTCACATGAAGAACAAAGAAAGCTGTGATTCAGACGTATCAGCACTCCTCCATCCGTCGCCGCGCTTCTTCTGCCTGCACACGTTCGCGTTGCAGCCGTTCTTCCGCGGCCATCCGTGCGAGCTCTTCAGCTTCTCTTTGCTCCTGCTCTTGTCGCAGTCGCTCCTGCCAAGCCATCCAGGTCAAGGACACAGAAAAGCACGAAGAAGCTCACTGGCCTCTTCTCTGCGCTGCTCCTCCGCCTTGCGCTGTCTCTCCTCCTCCTCCTCCTCCTCCTCTTTCTGTGCCTGAGAAAGCTCTTTCTGCCGCTGCTCCTCGGCAGCCATTCGGGTGCTCTCTTCCGCTTCTCGGCGTTCCTCTTCTCTTTTCAGCTCCTCCTGATTCGATCGCCACAAAGAAAGACGATAACGCATCACCAGAACAGAATTCCACAGGATACTGACAAGAGTTGAGTATAACCTACGCTGAACACGAAGGGTCTACCCCGCGCTTCTTCTGCCTGCACACGTTCGCGATGCAGCCGTTCTTCAACGGCCATCCGTGCGAGCTCTTCAGCTTCTCTTTGCTCCTGCTCTTGTCGCAGTCGCTCCTGCCAAGCCATCCAGGTCAAGGACAAGAAAAAAACAAAGAAGCTCACTGGCCTCTTCTCTGCGCTGCTCCTCTGCCTTGCGCTGTCTCTCCTGTGCCTGTTTGTTTTTTATGAGACAGAGACGTCTTAGTGTCACTTCACACACCACCAGTCACAGAGCTTTGGCTGCGAACAGCTGCAACCCTTCAAGCAGGTGTCAACAAACGTGGACACGATCTACAAGCTCAATGCGTTTCTTCTGCCTGCGCATGTTGCAACCAGTCTTCCACGGCCAGTCGTGAACTCTCTGCTGCTTTTCTTTGCTCTTGCTCTTGTCGGCGTCGCCCCTGTCAAACTCACCCAGCATGGACAAGAAACAGACAACTGATACCACCACGCACGAGCGCAACAGACTGCAAAGTACTCGCCTCTTCTCTGAGCTGCTCCTCCGCTACGCGCCGGCTCTCCTCCTCTTTCTCTGCCTGGGCAAAATCCCTCTGCCGCTGCCCTCCACAGCCAGACGTGCACTCTCGTCTGTTTCTCGTCCTACCCTCCGCCATGTTCAGCTGCTCTTGCAATCTTAGCCACTAGCAACAGTGCTTGCAACCATCGACACTGCATCGTCAACAGCCATAGCTGCAAAATACCCGCAACCACTGAAGACTGCAACATTACAACTGAAAGCTCGCTAGCACTCCTCCATCCGACGCTGGGCTTCTTCTGCTTGCGCATGTTGCAACCACTCTTCCACGGCCAGTCGTGAACTCTCTTCTCCTTCTCTTTGCTCTTGCTCTTGTCGGCGTCGCTCCTGTCAAACTCACCCAGAATGGACAAGAAACAGACAACTGATACCACCACGCAAGAGCACAACAGGCTGCAAACCACTCGCCTCTTCTCTGCGCTGCTCCTCCGCTACCCGCCGGCTCTCCTCCTCTTTCTCTGCCTGGGCAAGATCCCGCTGCCGCTGCTCCTCCATGGCCCGTCCACTCTCATATGCTTCTCGTTCTTCCTTCTGCTCTATTGAAATCACAGGCACTCGGGACACTGTCTCAGCAACTTCAACAATGTTGACATGTTGACGTCTTTGTGAAACAGAGCTCTACACCTAAACGTATGACTTTGAACCCCCCCACCCGAAATTGCAAAATCCAACTCGGAAAACATGGCTAGAAACCGCGATCACGATTGCAAAAACCACGGCGGCCAAGCAGATGAAAAAGATCATGTGCATGTTGTAGAAACTGATCGACACTCAGCCCACCACTACCTCTGCTGCTGCTGCTATTTCTGCTGCTACGGCCCCAACAGACGCCAAGCTAAGGGGCCTGCATCCTCACGGGGCGAGGCAGGGTGGGGTTTCCACAATTTTCCACATATAGATCGCAACCCTCAAGACCGTTCCAGATCGTAGCATTCAAACCAACTGAAAGCTCGCTAGCACTCCTCCATCCGCTGCTGGGCTTCTTCTACTTGCGCATGTTGCAACCACTCTTCCACGGCCAGTCGTGAACTCTCTTCTCCTTCTCTTTGCTCTTGCTCTTGTCGGCGTCGCTCCTGTCAAACTCACCCAGAATGGACAAGAAACAGACAACTGATACCACCACGCAAGAGCACAACAGGCTGCAAACCACTCGCCTCTTCTCTGCGCTGCTCCTCCGCTACCCGCCGGCTCTCCTCCTCTTTCTCTGCCTGGGCAAGATCCCGCTGCCGCTGCTCCTCCATGGCCCGTCCACTCTCATATGCTTCTCGTTCTTCCTTCTGCTCTATTGAAATCACAGGCACTCGGGACACTGTCTCAGCAACTTCAACAATGTTGACATGTTGACGTCTTTGTGAAACAGAGCTCTACACCTAAACGTATGACTTTGAACCCCCCCACCCGAAATTGCAAAATCCAACTCGGAAAACATGGCTAGAAACCGCGATCACGATTGCAAAAACCACGGCGGCCAAGCAGATGAAAAAGATCATGTGCATGTTGTAGAAACTGATCGACACTCAGCCCACCACTACCTCTGCTGCTATTTCTACTGCTACGCCCCAACACACGCCAAGCTGCCGGGGAAGGGGCCTGCACCCTGACGGGGGGAGGGAGGGTGGGGTTTCCACATATGAAGTCAACATCAGCCATTGCTGCAAGATCGCAACCCTCAAGACCGTTCCAGATCGTAGCATTCAAACCAACTGAAAGCTCGCTAGCACTCCTCCATCCGCTGCTGGGCTTCTTCTGCTTGCGCATGTTGCAACCACTCTTCCACGGCCAGTCGTGAACTCTCTTCCGCTTCTCTTTGCTCTTGCTCTTGTCCGCGTCGCTCCTGTCAAACTCACCCAGTATGGACAAGAAACAGACAACTGATACCACCACGCAAGAGCACAACAGACTTCAAACCACTCGCCGCTTCTCTGCGCTGCTCCTCCGCTACGCACCGGCTCTCCTCCTCTTTCTCTGCCTGGGCAACATCCCGCTTCCGCTGCTCCTCCATGGCCCGTGCTAGCGACACTGTCTCAGCAACTGTCGACACTGCATCTTCAACAATGTTGACATGTTGACGTCTTTTTGAAGCAGATCTCTACATCTAAACATTGAACCCCCCCACCCGAAATTGCAAAATCCAACTCGGATAACATGGCTAGAAACCGCGACCACGATTGCAAAAACCCCGGCGGCCAAGCAGATGAAAAAGGTCATATGCATGTTGTAGAAATTGATCGACAGTCAGCCCACAGCTACTGCTGCTGCTGCTCCTGCTGCTGCTGCTGCTATTTCTACTGCTACGACCCAACACACACCAAGCTACCGGGGAAGGGGCCTGCATCCTGACGGGGGGAGGGAGGGTGGGGTTACCACATAGGAAGTCAACATCAGCCATTGCTGCAAGATCGCAACCCTCAAGACCGTTCCAGATCGTAGCATTCAAACCAACTGAAAGCTCGCTAGCACTCCTCCATCCGCCGCTGGGCTTCTTCTGCTTGCGCATGTTGCAACCACTCTTCCACGGCCAGTCGTGAACTCTCTTCGGCTTCTCTTTGCTCTTGCTCTTGTCGGCGTCGCTCCTGTCAAACTCACCCAGAATGGACAAGAAACAGACAACTGATACCACCACGCAAGAGCACAACAGGCTGCAAACCACTCGCCTCTTCTCTGCGCTGGTCCTCCGCTACGCGCCGGCTCTCCTCCTCTTTCTCTGCCTGGGCAAGATCCCGCTGCCGCTGCTCCTCCATGGCCCGTCCACTCTCATATGCTTCTCGTTCTTCCTTCTGCTCTATTGAAATCACAGGCACTCGCGACACTGTCTCAGCAACTTCAACAATGTTGACATGTTGACGTCTTTGTGAAACAGAGCTCTTCACCTGAACGTATGACTTTGAACCCCCCACCTGAAATTGCAAAATCAAACTCGGAAAACATGGCTAGAAACCGCGATCACGATTGCAAAAACCGCGGCGGCCAAGCAGATGAAAAAGATCATGTGCTTGTTGTAGAAATTGATCGACACTCAGCCCACAGCTACTGCTGCTGCTGCTGCTGCTGCTGCTATTTCTGCTGCTACGGCCCCAACACGCGCCAAGCTAAGGGGCCTGCATCCTCACGGGGCGAGGCAGGGTGGGGTTTCCACAATTTTCCACATATGAAGTCAACATCAGCCATTGCTGCAAGATCGCAACCCTCAAGACCGTTCCAGATCGTAGCATTCAAACCAACTGAAAGCTCGCTAGCACTCCTCCAGCCGCTGCTGGGCTTCTTCTGCTTGCGCATGTTGCAACCACTCTTCCACGGCCAGTCGTGAACTCTCTTCTGCTTCTCTTTGCTCTTGCTCTTGTCGGCGTCGCTCCTGTCAAACTCACCCAGTATGGACAAGAAACAGACAACTGATACCACCACGCAAGAGCACAACAGACTTCAAACCACTCGCCTCTTCTCTGCACTGCTCCTCCGCTACGCGCCGGCTCTCCTCCTCTTTCTCTGCCTGGGCAACATCCCGCTTCCGCTGCTCCTCCATGGCCCGTGCTAGCGACACTGTCTCAGCAACTGTCGACACTGCATCTTCAACAATGTTGACATGTTGACGTCTTTGTGAAACAGAGCTCTACATCTAAACGTATGACTTTGAACCCCCCCCCCCCGAAATTGCAAAATCCAACTCGGAAAACATGGCTAGAAACCGCGATCACGATTGCAAAAACCACGGCGGCCAAGCAGATGAAAAAGATCATGTGCATGTTGTAGAAACTGATCGAAACTCAGCCCACAGCTACTGCTGCTGCTGCTGCTGCTATTTCTGCTGCTACGGCCCCAACACGCGCCAAGCTAAGGGGCCTGCATCCTCACGGGGCGAGGCAGGGTGGGGTTTCCACAATTTTCCGCATATGAAGTCAACATCAGCCATTGCTGCAAGATCGCAACCCTCAAGACCGTTCCAGATCGTAGCATTCAAACCAACTGAAAGCTCGCTAGCACTCCTCCAGCCGCTGCTGGGCTTCTTCTGCGTGCGCATGTTGCAACCACTCTTCCACGGCCAGTCGTGAACTCTCTTCTGCTTCTCTTTGCTCTTGCTCTTGTCGGCGTCGCTCCTGTCAAACTCACCCAGTATGGACAAGAAACAAACAACTGATACCACCACGCAAGAGCACAACAGACTGCAAACCACTCGCCTCTTCTCTGCGCTGCTCCTCCGCTACGCGCCGGCTCTCCTCCTCTTTCTCTGCCTGGGCAAGATCCCGCTGCCGCTGCTCCTCCACAGCCAGACGTGCAATCTCGTCTGCTTCTCGTTCTTCCTCCACCCTTTTGAGCTGCTCCTTGCAATGACAGAAACTAGCGACACCATCTCAATAACTGTCGATGCTGCATCTTCACCAGCAAATGCTGCAAGATTGCAACCCTCAAGACAGCCCAATTGTCGGTAGCACTCCTTCATCCGCTGCTGTGCTTCGTCTGCTTGCACATGTTGCATCCACTCTTCCATGGCCAGTCGTGAACTCTGTTCCGCGTTGCTTTGCTCTTGTCGCCATCGCTCCTGTCAAACTCCCCTAGATTCACCTACCAGTGGCACCAATTTGTATCTACTGCTAGGAGCGACCCGAAACAACTCGAAACACAGAAAGAGTGCAAAGCACTCGCCTCTTCTCTGCGCTGCTCCTCCGCTACGTGCCGGCTCTCCTCCTCTTTCTCTGCACAAGCAAGATCCCACTTCCGCTGCTCCTCCACAGCCCGTCCACTCTTCATCAGGGTTTCGCTCTTTGTGCCCGTCCATCAACTCCCTAGCCATCACCCTGCTGGTCGCACTGGGAACCGGGAACTGTGACACAAACTCCCATGTCATGATCAAAGAAGTTGACAGTTGCACAGGTTCATTCACCAGTGTGCATGACTGCATTGTTAACAGCTCTTAGGGTGTACAACAGCAGCACTCCATATTACTCGAGACTGCAACTGACGCGTTGAAAACGGCCTTCAGGATAAGCAATGCGATGGTCCATGTCCCGCCAAGGCGACGCAACATCGAGTAACCTTGCTTGACCTGCTCCTAGTAACTAGCACCTGTCGCTATAGCCTTCGTTGTCACACCTTTGCTACCTTGTAGAAACAAACAAACACAAAAAAAATCAAGAACACAAATCATATCGACCGGCGAAGACTAACTCAACATTGGCGAGTAGCTGCGGCGGACTCCGGTGATTTCTCAGTCCCCATGTGCAAAGAAGCAAGGCTGCTCCTCCTCTCGTTGCCGTGCTTCTGCCTGCGCACGTCCATGCACACAAAGCCTCGTAAACACGTGTCAACCCGCCCCGAAAGCGGCTGTGCATGCCTCTCTGCACTGCTCCTCCTCTTTGCGCTGTCGCGCCTCCTCCTCTGCCATCTCTGCCTGTGGGCCGCGCTGACAATAGCATTTCGACTTCGAGCATTTCGTCGGGAAGGCTTGGCCCATTACCAGAACGAAACAACGGCAAACAAAACGCAGCACGCTCCCTGCATTCGTTTGCCATCCGATTTATGCCGCCGACGACAACCCTCGCAGATCAGCAAATGCTCTTGACTTCGCAAACCTGTTGCTACATGGGGCTGGGTCAGTCAAAGTCTGGGAACATGGCCTGGCGCGCTCGCAACTGGTGGTGCCAGACTTCTACCTGTGGCTCTGAGCTTTGACGTTTTTGCAGGATTCGATTCACAGGGCAGAGTGTTTCGTTGCATCTGGGTGATGCTAAGTTAAGGCTACGAAGGCCTCACATCAACTATGAAAGTATGGCTTCCGGAAATGCGAACGGCTTAAGCGCTTTGCTTGATGGTCCAGTCATACTTGAAGGTTGGAGCCCGATATCCGCATTGCAGTACAGCGCTTGACCAAATAAACAACATAATCGAATCGCAATGGAGACAAAGACATGCCGCAAGAACAATGGCATACACAGGGCATTCTGATGGCAACATTGGCGAAAGACACACTGGGCCAACCTTTGCGGCGGGTTGCAGATCCATGCGTGCAGAGCAGTCGAATATCACTGCCCTTCCTAGGTCCAGCCGTTGACCTGAAAGCACGAATTCCTCGAAACAACATCTGGAAGCAGCGGACACTTTATCTTTCGAGTCATCCGAGTCGCTGCATGATGCTCCGCAGTGTCCTGAAGCTGCTCGGGATCGCACTCTCGCAAGACCCTCCTGCACCCATCAGCTACATTGCTGACAAGGACTGACGCGGCCTCGTCGCCGAAAGGCGGAGCCGCCTGTTGCCGTTCCACCTGCACAGGCAGATCGGAAGCTCGGGGATCGGCCGATCGGCCTATGGCCCATGCTGCGATCACAACATCTCAGCACCTTCAAGGAATAGGAATCTAGTGGCATGGGCTTTCTGAGGCCAAGCACGCGCACTCAGCAGAGGCCGGCACATCAAAGACATGGAAAGGACTGGCCAAGAAGAGTCTGCAACGGGCAAGGTTAGGTTTTCCGCTTTCTGATTCTGGGCAGTGCATGGAGCTAGCTGAAACTGTGCGGAACCGCACCCAAACCGACGGCAGCATGGCAGTCTTCCTCTCTGCGATATACACGTTCCGTGGTTTCTCCAGCAACAGTCGATACTTCTACAGTTCAGGCTACAAGAAGCAAGGGCCAGGAGAGGCAAAAACACTACTACTGCTACGCCCGCCGTACGCTTTTCCTACGCGTGCGGCTAGATACGATAACCGAGATGCGTCAAGCCTGAAAGGCGCTACGCTCTACTGCACTCCCCAGGCAAAATGGCTACGCAAGCACATGCATACAAGACGGCATTACATCGCGCAGGCACAGCTCAAAAAAACGCTGCTCGCTTTCATTTTCAACCTATTCAATAACATCAAGAAAATGAAGCAGAACAGGGTTTCGCAAACCGTTATGATTAAAATGTATCATAAAATCACCATCGCCAGCAAGCGTTCAAGCAGTTCGGTCAGTCTGTTGCTCAATCAACATCACCGTGGACTTGCAACGTGCTCTGGAGCGTTGTGGACGTGCCTGAAGATCCCTGGGCTCGTGGAGCACTCGGCGCAAGGGCCTGCGGGGTGCCTGCAACTCTCCGGGCACATGCTCCTGCTGTTAATTCCACACTAGTGACTATGACCAGGATGCGCAACTAATTACTCGTGGCTCTCAAATGGTTTCGGAGAACCGATGACTGCGAATGGCAGCGCCAAGCCCGTCTCGCCGTGCCTCGGGCGGCCGGGGCGGGAACTCCTCAGGGTCACAAGCTGCGCACGCCCGGGAAAGTGACCCAACAACAGAGGGTGTTCTGCTGCGGCTGTGGCCAAGCACATGCATTCCAGGAGCTTGCTCCCCTCATTCAGCACGTGCTAACCGGTCTTCCTGGAAGGTGACGAACTCAACATGTTCGGGCTTCCCTCCACATACCTGCCCGGGGGGCTGGACGAGGAGACGAATGAGAGACATGCTGCTGCTCGGCGAGATGTCGGAAGGTGTCACAGCCATACGGCTGGCAGAGGGTCTTTTTACCGAACGCTGGCGGCCCCCCCGTGCCTTTGCCAACGTTAGCTCGCCTGTCTTGTTCCAAATGCTGAAAATTGCAATGAAGGCTTCAAATACTGTTACTTACAACATTTGTGAGTGTTCACATGCTCGATATTGCACATTATTGGATTTCCCCTTACTGACAACCTCCAAACAGTTTCCGATTCTTCAGAACCTTTCAGCGCTGTGGAAATTGTGGCCAATTACATCATTCTTATGAGTCTCTGGCTGTTCACAGGCCTGAAATGGTAACTTCTTACATAATTGGCTACTCACAAGTTCCAAATGCTACCACATGCTGTCAATTTCAGCATTTCCAACCCTTCCAAGGACCCTAGGGTTGAGCCAAGTGGGACCTTCACACAATAGATGCGTCTGCAGACGAACGCGGCCTCCTCGTCACTGGGTGGGCCTTCTGCCTCCTGCGGATTTGCCCCGTAAGGGAGCTCCTCCACACCGCAAAGGACTCGAGCGGGCAATTGCTGCCTCAGTGGAGGC